CGTATGGTTATGCCGCTGGTGTATTCTAATAGGAAAAACACTTTGTCAAGGTTGTTATCCTGCTGCCAAAGAGGACTTTTCAAAAAATATGTTCCACTATTAACCCCTTAATGCTGTAGCTGCAAGTGCCACTGATGGCTAAATATTCGTTTAGTGCTGGTAGATGATGGAATAGCTTTTAAAATGTCACACTAGGAGTGTTTACTGTTAATATTTGTTGTTAATTTTAGTTTTTTTGACCATCATTATTGCCTTTATGATAGGATATTTTGTGGAGGGCTTGGGTTTGGTTTGCAACCATGAAGGTTGCATTGCTTTATCAGAAATTAAAATACTTTGCAAATATTTCAGTAAAATCAAAATAAATTCCAATTTGTATGGTATTTTCTTGACAAATTTTTGCCATAAAACTCGAGCAACAATTTACTAATTTGAAAAAAGATTTTACAGCTAAAGTTCATATTTTTTTCTGAATAAATTTCCGTAATGGAAATGGTAAGTTTGAAGTTGATTTGGTTAAGCTATAGCTAGTGATATTTAACTGTGCCTATGTTTAAAGAACTACTATTAGTTCACAAAACTTGATAAAATTATTAACTAACTTGATAAAAGGACTTGCAACGCTGCAAAGTTTTGTCTTCTTCGCTTTTTTCTTATCAAGGGTCTGCAAAGTTTCTCATTCGTACAACACTTTGTACGTGTAGAAAAATTTTAGCAGGGCCCGCGCCACCGGGGGGGATGGGGTGGCCATGACCCCCCACTTTTTACGAAGCAAATAGTTTTAAAGCTCCAGTAAAAGGGGAGAGAGGCCTTGGCCTCCTTCTTTTGCTGATCTTGCTCCCCCTTCCACTTTCAAATTCGTGACGAGGGCCCTGTTTAGGAAAATGAATTTAAGTTTTTTCGTGGAATTTGCAGGCAAATGAAAAATGCCCAGCCTCACTTGCGTCCCTGGTCTACACCTACTTATCTAATAACATATTTAATATACTACAAAACAGGCAATTACGAAGATCCACAACAGATGAAGCCTTGAGGCAATGTTCTTTTCTACAGAAGGTATTTATTGATTTTGCGATGATTGCAAGTGAAAAAAGGGGAAAGAGAAAGCCAACTAGGTCGTTCGCGATTCTGTTTCTGTGCGGACAGTGGTGTCTTGTGTGTGGGTTACCAAAATTTGCCAACAACACTTCCCCGATAAGAATACAATTTACGAGGATTTAATGGTGACATGGTAGAAACAAGGACAAGGCTGAATAAAATTGAGAACACATACAACTAAGCAGAATAAGCATGTGCTTAGGGCATTACAGCCAAAGAAGACACCACAATGTTGAGAAGAAAATAAAAATGTCAAGAAAAATGTAAAAAGAAGTTGTGTAAAATTGATCTAAATATTCTGATTCTTCACCAGGTTACGTTCCCAGGTGTACCAAAATAGAGAATGCTAACGCAGTGCACTCTGACCTCTGTTGGGCAATAAGATCTTTAACAAAGTCATTTTTTCCTGTTATGTTAAGAATTTTGGATTGAGCTCTATGTCTGAGACGTGACGTGTGTGATATCCTTGACAATCTAAAATCACTGCAATAGTAAAAAGTTTTCAAGCAGCTTCCTCGATTTTTTCTCTTAGTTCTAATAAATAAGTATTTGTAGTTGTCCCTTATCTGTTGATATTTTCAGACTTTTGAGATACTCTGACTGTATTCACTCAGTAGCGCATCTAACGGGGCGCTGAAAGATTTCCTGCACCCTTGTTCTGAGCTTTGATCTCAAATCTTTTGTTAACTTACTGGATTTTGGCCAGCAAGATCTACCGGTTCGCATTTGGTCCTTTGTCTTCTAGCTTATGCTGCTCGCATTTGGTCCTTTGTCTTGAATCTGTTGGGAAAACGAACGGAGTGATCTCTCTCGACACCTCAAAGGCCTTTGATCGTGTCTGGTAGAAATTTTCATTTATCCTTTTCATCAATTACCTACTTCCTTTCTTCTACCCCTACAAGTTTTCATTCTTTTGCTGATGACATATATCTGAGCTCACCATCTTCCTTAAATTTACAACATGACTCTGTTGTGAGTGGTCCGGTCAAAGAAGTATTTGACAATAATTGGGAAGTTGGAGAAGACAATCTCTGGTCCCCTAAGATGTGCAAGATACACTAAAAACTCGAGATTCTCCTGTATTTCCTTCCGATAGTTTGTAAACTTTGACGCATTTTTGAACGTTGTTCCTGCACCCAATATTCTTATAACCTGTCTTCTTTAAAAATCGGTATGAACAAGCCTGATATTATCTTCCATTCTTCTTAGCCCTTCCATCCTTTCCCTTTTTTGGGCATTGCTATAAGTCCCTTTGGCCTCCTAACATTACCAACAAAAAAGGTCAACAACTAAAATGGAATGGGTAGGTGGTGAAAAGTGGTGGCACACAGATGGTTCAGTGCTTAGAGCACCAGTGTGCCTTAATCCGCCGCTACCTTCACCTCTTCATGTCGCTCCAATTGAGGGGCAAAGCGCTCTATTAAAATCTCGTACACCTTTTGTGAAAATCCTATTGTTGTGAAAATCCTATTGAAAATCTTCAAAAATCCTATTATAGGCAAAATCTCGTACGCTTTTTCTATTTGCAAGAGTGAATCGCCCCTCAGCTCCAATGTTAAAAGAACGAATATACCACTCTGAAAAGACGCTCTTCGCACAACAGAAATTTCTGCGAATTTGGATACCGGGCCTTATGACAACTTTGGGAGCTTGCGACGCCGGTGTTTCGGAGCTAGCATTTATTGTAGTAGATTTTGCTTGTTGTGTAGCGGAGAAGCTAGTGGAAGTTTGGTTTCAAAGACAGACCTTTCATACACTGCAGTTTGAGAAGGGAAAATAACTAAGCTACCCAGAAAAGTTCATTTGTAGCCTTATTTTAAAACCATTTGTTATTCATTGAGCTTGGACCATTTTTCGGTATTCACACACACGGTCCTTTATGGGGATATTGATACAATTTTACTGGAATTGTTCTTTTACTAAAAATAAAAAGGACAGTTGAGCTGTTGCATGCAATAAAATAGTTTTCACGTTCAAATGAGGATGTTTCCATCGCACATAAAATGCCATATTCCTTTATAAATGCTCATCAAAAACCCCAATTGGAACTTACTAAAATTACAATTTTCCCTTTCAACTGAGGAAGCTTATAAAGCATCATAAAGCATCATAAAGCATCATAAAGCGTTACATAGGCTTCTCAGCGCGTTTTGAACTTGATGACTAAACAACCGTTGAAGGGTCCCAGCAATAATGCTTGTTGATATTCATTCCATTCATGAGAGCCATATCTTCATCTGTGATCACAAAGTTAAAAACGTCAAAGTTTTCCTTTATATGTTGTGGGTTCGTTGATTTTGGGATAACACCTACAAGAAATATAAAAGAAATTATTTTAACCTCTTCACAATTTTTTTTAAATCTTTTAGTTAATACACCCCGCTTAAAAGCGCATGGAAACGAAAAACCAATTTTTAAAAATCACAGAAAATGTGCATAAAAGCTAGTAGCACCCTTTCCAATGAAAGAATTATAGATATCGTGACTTTTCCCTATTTTTAAGTCAAACTTTAATTCAAAAAGGGACATTTTCATGCCATGTAGCATCAATTACTGTTGAACAAAACTGATTCGCACTTTTAGAAACACTTTTGAGATTGTCTCTGGGTAAGGGAATTTGTTCTAATTAGCTGCACTGTGCAGTGGTCGGCAGGGGCGTAACTTGGCCAATAGTTTTGGGGGGGGGGGGAAAAGGGTTTCTGCCCTGCAAAACTGAGTGGTGCCCTGCAGACCTCGTAGCAACGGTTTGTCTATAGGTTACTAGTGAAAGCTTTACCAGTGTACACTGGTCTTTACCAGGGACAAACTTCTAAGCAATAAAAACAAACTTGAAACTTCATTGCCTATGAAATTTCTATTTCTCTACGTGAGCGTAAATTGTTTTTTTATATTCACTTCATTTAATGTTTGGTTTGCAAAATTAAGCTAATAAACAGCTAATTGGGGGGGGCATGATGTAGACAGCGCAACGAAATTTAGCCCAGTGGGGCTAAGAGTCGAGTTTAGTGAGGTAGGAGGACCCACCATGGTTGGGTCCGACGTGAATAAATTTTTTGAAATTATACCTTGTAAAAGGGCTAAAAAGCATCTTTCAGACAAAAATTTAGCAAAATACTATTGTGCTAAAAGAACTGATTGTTTATTGAAAATATTATTGTTTATTGGGAAAAATAGGGAGGGGGATGTCATGCTAAAACTCTAGTATTAGACGTTGGGGAAGGAAAGAAACGACAACCTTTCGTTTCAGATTGCACGTAGTTGTGAATGACAGAGGAAGATGTTGTTTTGATTGGGGGAATTTTATTTCCTGAACAGAAATGTGCAGTTTCTTGCATCGAGAAGGCCATGTTTACACATCCAAAATTAAAACATTGCAATGATACAGAAAGTGATTTACTGAATTAATGCAAATAAAAGAAAAATAATAAAAATATACGTGAAAAAGTTAGCAATTAGATGAAACAAAATCGGTATCTTAACGATTTATTATGTTTTTTAGTTCCTGCACTGTTAAAAAGTAATAGAAACAATTATAAGTGAGGGCCTTCAGCCTCTTATTCCCCTCCAGATCTTGACCAAAGTGAGGGCCTTCAGCCTCTTATTCCCCTCCAGTGACGCCGTGCTTGTCATGAAAATAATTTACAACTTAAATTAATTTGCATGGACTCAACCTTGCCCTCATAAACATATGCATCAATCATTGCATCCATTGGCTATGACTTTCGGTAAGAAATGCTTTCGCTTTGCAAATAACGGAGCTTTTCCTTACATACCTGTTCCGTTCTCTAAAATGCAATGTCAGGAAGGGAGGTTCATAAAAAATACGATATTTGCATTTCAAAATTGCTAAACGGCTCTTTACGAACTTCAGAGGTGGCATTTCTGCGTGGCAATAAAGCTCTTCTTGGCGCCCTGCGAAATCTTCGATTGCCCTGCGAAATCGACTATTTTTTGGAGTGTCACACCCCCCACCCCCCAATCCCCTTGTGTTTCGCCCCTGGTGGTCGGCTCAAATTGTTCACAGGACATGTAGTTATCCTGTTCGCCCAAAGTACAGCAGATTTTTGCCGCTCAAGACGAAGATTTTTGTCTTTTACGACAAAAATCTGTAGTGTGCGGGGTCAAAACTGAAAGACTTTTGAATTTGCGATAATCTTCGAGATGGGGGGCTGGGGGTTGAGCTCCCCCCCCAATAATTGTCAAACGGTACTTTATTTCCTTTATAACAGTGTACTGAATAGAAAAAAAATACAATGGGCAGCCTCCCACCCCTCCCACATCAATTTCTTTCCGACGGCACTGTTATCTAATTCAATTCATTTTTATAAAACCACTCTTCGAAGCAGCAATGGCTCTCCTTCGCAACGGATAGTAAAGTCTGCACGCAGGCTATGGCGTAACTTGATGTTCGTGATTGGGTGTGCGGGGCATCCCATAATGAGTAGACGAATAGACGATGTCACGAACAATCGACATGTAAAATCGCTTTAGGGCAGCTCGCCATTTCTGATTTTTGCTTCCTTGCTTATTAGAAAAATGTGTTCTTTGAAGAGAAAATATTGTTTCTCTTTGAGCCAACAAGAAACATTATGCAGTTACATCAACAGTGAGCCCTTACCTATTCCATGCTGGAGACCCCATCTGAGTAGAACTTGTGATGCAGACTTGTCGTATTTCTTAGCAATTTGATTTATTAATGGATCTTTGATCAGCTGTTGAAGAAAAGCGACCAGTTGCATTCAAACGATAAAAATGACCACTCTGTGTTTATAACGATCCCCTTGAATCGGTTTTATTGCTTAACATGAATTTTTATACACTGTCAGAGTACAATATGAAAATTTAAGGATGTAACTGACTGTGTCATGCATTCCGTTAACTATGGAATGCAAGACACACTCTGAATTGATGACGCCACCGAAGTCTTTATTTATAGTATTTGAATTCGGATCTCCCCCTGAAAGACTTTCATGGAATACCTTTAGAATATGCCAAATGAGCCAAATGCTTAAGAACCTGGCGGAGACATGGCTATATAAGCAAATACTCTCCCACACCCCCTCCCCCCATCAAATCACTGTAATTTGGTCTCTGTTCATAACTTTATAGAAAGCTTTTCAAAGCCATATCTCACCCAATCATTAACATGTTTAATGATTTTCTATATTAAGGTACAGGGATGTAAACAAGTGGCTAATTTTGGGGGGTCGTGGAAGGTTGAAAATCCCAACTTTACCTAATGAATTTTTTCTTTCGACCTGTCAATCTTCTGTATCTACTAAATTGATTTTTGGAAATAGCCTTATTCCAGATTTATAGTTTCTGTATAATTACCAACATTTTACTCATAATAATTAGTTTTAAGCATAAAAGCACTAAAGAATATGAAGGAAATCTCTAAATTTTGATTAACGTAACAAAAACATTTTAATCTTTTCGTAAGAAGTAAAGCAACCTCAAAGCCAAACCAGTATTATAGATTTTGGATATATTTAATGATAAAAAGTAATATTCTTTCAAGTCAATTAACAGCGTTCTGTTTTTCCCATCTTAAAACTATTTGCTGCAGATCAGTTTCAAATAAAATATCTTTTTCACAGTAAAGAAGCATCAAGGAATTGGCCATTTAATCTTTTGTTCTTGATTGAGAAAAACTAAATGTCCTTTGTTCTTTGCAACTGGAAAGGGTGATCTGAGGGCAAGTGCATATGCCCGATTCGTAAGATAAAGCACTCTTCTTTGATCAAATACTTCTGCTGCCGCTTCTTTGATCAATGTTTTGTGGCTTCTCATTAGCTTTATCATAGCAATTTCTGATAAGATTTAAGGAGGTCTACAAAGTACAGAGGGAGCTTAGCATACACTCATTAAGAAGCGCTGAGAATTTCTAGCTATGAAAGATTTTTAGTGTTTTAATTTAATTGGTTACTTGTAGTTTCTTAAAAAATTCCCATTTTCAATTGTTCTGATACAGGGTATGATTTTTTTCAAAACTTATTTCAAAACTTATTTTTCAAAACAAAACAAAATTTAAACTTCTTATCCAGAAATTCGCCTTGCCTGTTCGAAATGATTTTTTTCAACTTAACTTCTGTCAAAAAAACAAAAAGGTCTAATGGCGCAGTTTGAGATCCAGGGATCCACATTTAAAAACGATTAGAAGATATGTTTGCTCCAGAATTCGAATTTTAACAAGGTCTAAGATTTTTACATTTAAAAGCCCAAAATCCCTAAGCTATGAAATTCACATATTTGGTCATGAGATTTAGAAAAAAATCCAAGTGAGCTTTTAGGTTTTCCAACTGTAACTGGATTTTCCAACCTTTAGGAGGCCCCCACGCCCCCACGTCCCCCACGCCACTATGTTATTTACGTGCCTGTTAAGGTACTTCATGGTATACTTTGAGACTGTTTGATCAACACTCAAAATTCTAAAAAATATTATAAAATGACATCATACTTAAAAACTCAATTAAATAGTCCTGGTGGCAAATGATATTTATTGACAGTAACTGGTAGTGATTTGTAAGAGAAAGTTAGAAATTACTAGAATTTTCAAGTGTAAGGTGTTTTCACGACGAAAGTAAACACTAAGCTCTCGGTGCCAGATTATGTGTTTACGGCTAATGGAAATGGTATAAACAAATATGACCTCGCCTACGCCAAGAGAGGAATAAGCTTGCAGTTGTATCCCTTTGTTTCCGCAATAGTCCAATAACTCCTTTTGATATAGATGCGGGTGAAATTCTACCTGCAAGTGAAAATCGCATAAGGAAATATTTAACAAACATCGTCTTACAAAATGTGGAATTGGGAGATGCTTTTTTAGTTTTTGCAAGCAGAAAGCTGTGAACCTGTGTGGGAAATTCTTTTCAAAGCACAGTGCTGAAATTTACGAGAATTCAGTACGCAGAATTTCTAAAAATCTTGCTATAATTCAATAGGACGGATAATTTTAATACGCCAAGATAAATTTAAGGATGTTTTCTGCTATTGTCAATTGGACCCCAAGATAATTAGTTATTGTTTCCAATGCACATTCTTTTTTCTTCCTTTTGGTGTCAAAAATGGCGCTCCAAATTACTCCGTCCTTCCTACGGACTCAATTTTTACCTGATTTACTGCTGGCATAATTTCTGCGTAACTTTCCATCTCCTTTAAATGGTCAATCGTATAGTTAGAGACACCGATGGCTTTTGCAAGTCCTAGAAATAGAAAAGAAATGGAATCACCAACTGCAGGCAGAGAGTGAGTTAAGAACAATAATAAACAGATAGTGTTCGCTCTCACACTTTTTCATACCATCTTTTGAAAACAGTGGTGTAATAGGGCTGGCGTGAGCGGTCTAACATAATTAGTGTCGGAGAAGGCCGACATACTGATATGCGGTTCAGCGAGATGACACGATGTTTGCCCCTTTCATCGAACCTAGAAATCTTCTTTCAAAACCAGGGTTACAAGGTTTAAAAAGTAGCCGTAGCCAAATCATGCCCAATATGAAAACGAGGCTAGAGAACAATAGAAGCGAAGTAAAGTAACACATGAATTTGTTAACAAACTAGATACAATATATGCTATTTCTTTCAATCACGCTGATTTGTTGCATAATACAATCAATACAATGTATAATTAAAAACCATGTGAGGTTAAAAGGTAATTATTTGAGACAAAATATAAAGAATGGTGAACTAATTATTGCTAATTATTCCTAAGATTTAGCATGTTGCTAATGAGCGACATGAAATAAACATAGTATACAAATTGTTGACTGGGATAGTTACAAGGCGTAATACTGAGGTTTCTCAAAATACAATCGCTAACAGTACAGGCCCCAATCAGTCTTTCGCAAGCACAGATAGCCCTCAAAATACGCAGGCACCTCAACCTCACACTGCAATACATCAATTGCCTTAAAACAGGAAAACAGATGCTTTCCCAAGCCATTTGCTACAAATAACATTGCACAATAACGTAATAAATCTAACAATCTTCTATAATAGCAAAATCCACGCCCGTAAAATAAACACTATAACAGTGCCCTGAGGAGTTCTAAATTTCACAGGGACCCGATTCTACGATCTGCAAGATAATATTTTTGCGAACGTAATTTTAGCTTGGTTGATATGTGACCTTCCATTGTTTTATGTGAATTTTAGGCTTGGTTGATTGGAATCAATCACTTAGGTACTCTATGAGCCTCAAGCTTAGCGCGGGTCGCATCAACTATATGGTTGGCCACAATGTGCTCTTAAATACTGGTCAGAGAAACTTATAGGGGCGAAGCCAAGAGGTGATTTTTGCCGACAAAAAGGGCGTGTCTCATTAATTAAGGGTGTGGTCAAAATATAAATACTCTTATATGCTGCCTTTGTGCGTTTCTGTTTCAAAGTTCATTCTTTAATGTCATACTTTGAAAGTTCAACTACTAAAGAAATATTGATACGTTACAATTGTTGCAAAAAGTTTACAGAAAGAGTACAAAAATTGCTTCTTTTGCCCGGCAAAAATCCTTGATGTGCCGATCCCTTTTGGCGACGCCCCTGGTTATTCATACATCAAACACAGATCAAACAACGATCAATAAGAAAGCAATTAAATAGCTACTCGCTATGTGCCTAGATCACAACTGAAAAAGTTGATCAATCAGTACCAACTGATGGTATTAAAACGTGACATGAATTATCTCTTGACGTTGGACAGTCAAAATCACGGGTAAATTTCAAGGAATACCAGCATTATCTTGACCTTCAAATTAGAACTTTTTAATTCTAAATCTTTAAAATGAAAATCTGTTAGTAGGTGGGGGTCAACAGGATTTGCAGACCCGGTGGGGGTAACTAAGCCTAATTTCGGACGGGGACGTACCATTTTTGTTACGAGCGAATAGTTGATCCACCACACAAGCTATACTTCTGCATATTTCTGGACCTAACAAAGGCCTTCGACACTGTTGATCCTAAATTTGACAGATAAACCTGAAAAATTTGTATGGCATAAGAGGAATTACTCTAAAATGATATAAATCGTAGCTTTCTAACAGAATCCAGAGATTTTGTGTTTAGGGAGTTTTATCCGAGCCCCAGACCGTAGCTCATGGTTTCCCCCAAGGAAGAGTGTTAGGCCCTCTCTCTTTCTTCTATACTTAAATGACATGCCCCCTACTCGCGCATTCTCAAAAGTTAGGAGACACTCGCTGTTATTATCATTTATTGCAAAAACACCCTACCCCCTTCCCCCCAATATCAATATTGATGTTGATTTTTTTTAGTTTTCTGGCTTCCACAATCAACAACCGACTAAAGAGCTGACTACGATCCTTTTTAATTGTAAGCTGAAATTGATTAAACAATATTTTCTTTCTACGTTGATATGAAATTTCACCGTTTTATATAGTTTCATACAGTCCTTCTGATGGCACCATCTGCATTGCTGAGAGCTATGGACGCAGGTGCAAGTGGATACGATAGCGATGTCTCAAGATCAGCAACTGATCGGGCTTGTTCAAGTACACAACTTTAAGGCCAAGAATGTCGCTCTTAAAATTTAAGGCAAGTACACTCTTAAAATTGTTTTTTTCTTTAATCTTCAGCTTAATTTAACTGACGAGACCTTGAAGGTTGCAACAACATTGTTTCCAGTTTTTTTAAAAGAGAAGACAAGTTTTTCACTGTCAGCTGTAGCCAGGCTCACTCGGAAGACCTTTGATAAAGGAGTGGGCTTTGGAAGAAGAGGTACCTTTTTGAATCTGGAAAATTCACTGAAAAAGGTGTTTTCTACAGTCAATCTAGGCCAAGATTTGGCTGCAGCAAGGTCTTTGCTGACAATATCATAGGATCTCAAAGATTCTTTAGAAAGAGCATCATGTCAATTTTATTCAATGCAACACTTGCAAGACAAGATTTTGTATGTATAGAGGTCATTTGCAACTTACAATAGAGATTTTTGCAGTTTTGTTTTACAGGCTGATGTTCCATTCTAGGCAAAGCTATAAACCTATAAAAAAAAGATTCCTATAACTTGAACTTCAGCCTTTTACAATAAGTATAGCTTTGGCCAGAATAATGTGAGAGAATCATAGTGTAGCAGAGCAGGACCTCTTGTTCACTTTCTTCTTTTGTACAAGTCTAGTATTATATTTCAGTAAAAACGGTATGAATAGTTCATATAGAAGTCAGAGGAATGGGGTCTTTCTTAGATCACTTGGATGAGCTTGGGTACATAACTGATTGAGAATGGACAAGCCGGGCAATGATTAAGCGAAGTTTGTCGTGTGCTTTATAGAAATAAAAGAACATCTAAATATTTAGTGCAGAAATTCGAAAGAAAAAAAAGAATCATAGATCCCAATCTCTTGCTGCCATGCAAAGGAAACACAAGGTTTTATATTATGCATGCAAACTAAATCTCTATGATTATCAAGGTGATTTGATGCTTCAGTTGGGATCCCTAGTAGATAGATCATGATTGGGATTTATGAGGTTCTATCCTCAGAGTGATACTTGTAACCAAGAATATACCTGGGAACTTTCGAAAAGCCATGCTGAACTAAAAAAGAGCTTCTAACTCAGGTGACGATTTTGAGGAACTTTGAAACGGTCAAACGATTTTCGATGATCCAGTAGTTTTTCCATTAGTGTTATTTATCAATTAGTCATGAATACCGCTACATAGTTCATATGGATGACAATTCAAAAATTAGTCCTATCAAAAGATATATTAAACCTTTTAGATGTCTATTCAGGGATAAAAAATTTAAGATTACGCAATTGCCTTGTGAAACGAGGCTTTTGGCCCTTTTAACGGACCAAAATTCAATTTCAAGCATTTATGGGCAAGAAATATGCTCAATCGGCTTATAATTGTAATTTATTTCCGTTTAAACTGTTTTCTCATTTAATACCTTATACCGTGTTCTAAAAATAGCTTTTAGATGCAATTTTGCATTGCCTTTATATTTCATCGTTTTACCGTAGTGAGACAACATATATTCATATATTTGCTAATTTTTTCTTTAGTAACCGTATATATCACAATACCCTGGGTACCAGGGTATGTTCTCGTTTCGTCGGCTGAACAGTTTAACGAAGCTACACTAGCTTTCGCTGTTGTCCCCATCGCTGATCTTGTCCCTACTCTTTGCTATGTCATTGGAAACAGTTCATCGACGCATTGCAATGTACGGCTCCTATCCTACGGACTTTTCCATAAGTAAGAGGGACTAAAATGGTTTTGCTTGCTGTTGTACATCTGGGAAATGGGTCGAGACATGGTTTATTGTCCATGAACCAATCAAATTCCATCCTGACTGGGCTCTTTGCAGCTATAGACGTCACGTGCTTGGTTAGCGGCCCAAACGGTTTTTGTCTTTTTCGAATGAACTTGCTGTCCGCACACAAATTCAAATTCATTTTCGTGCACTTAAATCAGCAAATATTTACAATTTATTGAATATGATTGCTAAAGGAACTAAATTTAGTTTTTCTAAATTTAGAAATGGGCGTCACCCCCCTTTTCCAAGCATCTATAGGGTGTGGTTGTGCGTAATTTTCCTCTATTTTCTGTTCCATACAAAGCATGACCATTGTCTTAAGGCCAGCTTCGCCACTGAATGCCATATCTCTCAACTTTTCTCGCCGCCAACCATGGTGGCGGCTTTCACTTAACCCCTGAGAAATAAAAACATTTGCCTCCTCACTTGCAATAAAGTCCTCTCCCCGCCGCACTCTTTCCCCTACCCTGGGTACCAGACTCTCTATTATTTTATATAGTGAGTCTGGTACCCAGCGTACCTTTCCCCATAGACTTGATGCTCTCATGTCAGCTGACGTTAACACAGTCAGTGTACCTGGCTGCTCAAACAATGTTTAGAAAAACATCAACCCTCGCCCTGATCAAATTTGAATGATCACATGACAAGAACAACTTATAAATTTCATTGAGCCCCCCTTGTTAAAATTTTACGACTTCATCCCTGCCCCTAATGTATGCCGCTGTCCCTAAGCAGAGCAAGGGCATATCATTGTCGCATGTCGCATGAAGAATTGCTCTGTTTTGAGGAATCAAATCTGGAAAATACTTTCAAAAAGCACATCATTTTTCTTCCAATTTTCTATCTGAGGCTAAACATGTTTACGCTACGCTGTTCTAATATTTTGCAAATCGAGCTTTCTTAAAGAGAAAAAGAGTGTAAACTATCAATACTAAGGCTGTTTCTGTATTAAGGTTTGAGCTGGGATATTCAGGTAGACAGAAAAGAGAAAAGGACTGAACAAGAGAAAATTTGGGAGGGTCTAGGAAAGAAGCTGAAAATCCAGACTGTAGGGCCGTCGGATGCAAGTTTGAGCAGGGGGAGGGGGGCTGGCTAAAACGAATAAAAAGGGCACCAACATTTTTTTCCCGAAACAAGTGCTAATATAATGGTACAGCTTTCATGGTAATTTAGACACTTATAAAAAAGAATAAAACACATTGCACATAGTGAGAACTATCTTCGCTGAAAGCAGACATGGTAATGCACTCAACTTCTCATCTCACTGGCTTTGAAGTTTATTGCACGGTGTAAATCTTTCTTCCAAGTATAATTTGTGCTTTTATTACAATGCGTTGTACTTATTTTTATTATAATTTGCATTGTAAGCGAATTCGACCCCGGTTAAGCGGCAGGCACACATTTTTCCCCCATTCTTGTGGCAGGCGCATCCCTACGCCTCTTGAAACAGATAACTCTTTTCGCCTCCATGAAATATTTTTTAAAGTTACAAAATTTCAAGTAAATAAAGTCATCTTCACGCAATCGGCTGAAAGCGCGGACACGTTCTTGAAACCCATAGCTAAATTGATTGGCAACGTTGATTAGTTAAAATGTTCACCTTCGAAGTCTTATTACAGTGATGACAAGCCACTTTTTCTAACTATAAAACTTCGAATGAAACAATAAACTCATCAAGTTTTCGATATCTCCGCATTGCAAAAGGTTGTGAATCAGTATTAATCACAACGAAGCAGTGTTGATAATCGTTAATCATTGTGAGTGATCGAGAACCATCATGGGTCATAATAAATCCGCGAAGGCCATCGTGAATCAGCTCAAATGATCGTGAATCTCTGTTAATCATTGTAAATCGGCATACCGTAAAAGCTCTATTAAGCCCCCTCTCTATTAAGCCTCTATCAAGCCCCCTCTCTATAAATTTTCAAATTCATTTGAAAGTGAAAAAGAGAAGATAACAGAATTTTTTTATTCTCCAGAGTATATTTTTGCTATTTGCTTATCTTTTTTTATGCGCCAAGGACGAAGTTTTGTCAAGATTGGGCCTTAAATTTTATGCTAAAGACGAACATCACCTTCAGAAATGATGAGAATGTTTAAAAACATGACTAATCTTGGTTTGCTAGTGCGAAGTTCAATTCTTCCTACCTTTTCTTGGCTAAACTTCTGCATGAAGTTGCACCAATCATAAGATGTAGCAGAGAAAAAATAAAACATGTTGGCCAATGCCTTTTGCAAGGGAATGTTTATCTTACCAATAAAGAGATTCAATCAGTATTTTTTGAATACGTAAGCAGGGGCGGTACTAAAAACGTTTTTAGGGGGGTGTCAAGTGTCAGGTTGCCGGGTAGGAGATTTTTCAATTAGATAAAATGAAGGCATAATTTGCTGTCGAAAAATGCCATGATCATTCCCCCCGTTTGCTAACTATTGAATTTTATGATTCTTGAACAATTTTCCTACTGTTAGTGTAAATGAACATTAAAAATTTGTCACATCTTATGTAAATCGGCTCGTTTTTTAAAACCCTCAGTTTATCCCCAACCCTAATGTACCATTCTGAATATTATCTTGTCCGACCAGCATGCTCTGAAAATAAACTTTAGATGCATTTTCGAGATTTCCTCTATATTTAATCGTTTTTAGCTTGTTGAGATGCATATATTCGCTAATTTTTACTTAGATAACCGGATAGTTACACGATTTACAGTGGATTGAAGGAATAGGGGACTTGGCCGAGTTTCTATGTTCCAAAAATAGATGTTAAGTGAATTTTTGAGGATGCCTCTGTAATATAGGTACTTATTTCATTTTAGGTCAGTCTTGCGTTTATGCTTATATCTGTTCATGCTTATCTTTGATTGGGATATATTAGTTTGTCGCGTGTTAGTTTTTCATGTTTTCCGGTATAGTAATATTTTACATGCCCTCTTACCCTACAAAGTTCCCCCGCGTATCTTAATATATCTAACACCTCCTACTAGTTCATTTACGTATTGCACGATAGATACCGACAATAACACCGGCAATTATTGATGTTAGTTTGCTATATTGTAATGCTGTTATATAAAGTAGAGTAAGGAGAAACAGAGTTAGTTAGAGAGAAGCGTGGTGCTTGCGAAAGGCCACTGCTATCAAACATGTAGACACTCACTCGCACGCACACAAAGAACGGTCATGGATTGAAAGGCTAAGATATAATTTAATGGCGTAACAGTGCTTGTGAAAGGCTGTTTAGTACCTAAGTTTCGATATTGTGTAAAAGAACGTCTTAGCTTTGGATGGAATAAAAGGAATTGATTTTGTGTGTCAAAACGTGTCGTTTATTCGCTCGGTCAATCGCTCAAACAACGAATGGTGTCAGAATTTTTACAAATATATATCAGCAGCAAGTTTTATCATTGTCAATAGAAATTTCTATTGACTATGATTTCATGCTTTTATCAAAAAGTGAACAGTTGTTGCTAAAATCTGCGGTACTTCTATTACAGATCGATCCTTTACTTTGTATCTTTTATTAATATATCTTTGGTTAACTTCTATTCAATAAATTGTAAATATTTGCTGATTTAAGTACACGAAAATGAATTTGAATTTGTGTGCGGACAGCAAGTTCATTCGAAAAAGACAAAAACCGTTTGGGCCGCTAACCAAGCACGTGACGTCTATAGCTGCAAATAGCCCAGTCAGGATGGAATTTGATTGGTTCATGGACAATAAACCATGTCTCGACCCATTTCCCAGATGTACAACAGCAAGCAAAACCATTTTAGTTCCTCTTGCTTATGGAAACGTCCATAGGATAGGAGCCGTACATTGCAATGCGTCGATGAACTGTTTCCAATGACATAGCAAAGAGTAGGGACAAGATCAGCGATGGGGACAACAACGAAAGCTATTGTAGCTTCGTTAAACTATTCAGCCGACGAAACGAGAACATACAATGTCTTTGGGCCTAGTCAGACTGGATCAAACAATGTGATGAACGTTTCTATCAGTAATGGAAGAGCCACGGATAGGGTTTCAGGTAAGCTGAAGGTCATTAAAATCTGATAAATATTAGAAGCTAAATCATAATTACATTATTAAATAAATTATTACAGGAATGTAATGTTTTGTATCGGATATAGTCCCAGTCTGCGGAGCATGGCGATAATATTGCGCAACACACCCAAGATGTAGAAATGGCGATGCTTTGTCTAAGTGCATGGCCAGAATCTCTTGTAAGCAATTCTACAACATTTCTACTATTGGCCAAGACAAGCTGTGTTACTTTTTCTCTTGATGAATGAACCAGAGATGGGCAATAGAAATGGTGATATCACAAAAATTTGTTTTTAAATTTTCAATTTTGAATGCACAAACAGAAATGACATGTTAAAGTGATGACAAGACAAGTTGAATTTGTTGCATATTTCATGTGATAAGGCTATTTGAAATTTGTTAATGTATTGTTTTAAATTTGGCTTAGTTCAAAGATTTTAAAGCTGAAGCAGGTCCCTTATTTTCAGAACTTCCACGACTGCCATAAAATAGAATGTGCAAATTCTATGATTGTGATAAAAAGGGCAACTGTACCTCAGCCTTTTGTAACTTCTTTTAAAAACAGACGTCATTGATCTGCGCGAGCGCGCGAGCGGCGCTCGCAGGCACAAAAGCTCATTCTCAGGAATTTCTGCAGGCACATTTCTCAATTTATTTTTATTTACCTTTGTTGTATTAGAGTCATGCTTTTTCAAACATCTTTCTTGGTATTGAAATTTAACGGTCAAATAGAATATAAAAGGTAGTAGTTGCAAGTCTTTATTACCAAAATGACAGAAGGTCCTTATTCTAAAGGTGCCATTTGATTCTCAAAATCAAGTTGGCTGTTTGTCTCTTTTCCTCTATTATATCTTGGTGGAAGAGATCATTTGCAATTATTGTATCATTTTCTTCAGAGAATTGTGTTATGACTTGTTAATCTCATTCGTGCATAGAAAATAATATGCAAATAATCAAATCTTACAAGCATGATAAACTTGAAGCTAAAAAACGGAGTATCCTTATAAGATACTTTTTATAATAAGACATTTCAACCAAAGTAATTGGGAATAGAATCTTTCTTCTAAATGAGAAAAACCCAGTGTGATGTTGAAATTCTTGCAACCGTTGCCAAGGAAGCGAAAGCAAAATCCTAAAATTCACAGACCTTAAAAGAAGATATTCTAAACTAGAAATAGCTCTTGCTAGTACTGCCCGCAAACAATTAGTTCCCTGATAATGATTGTTTTGAAAATTTAGGTCAGGATATTCGAAGAAGATTCCATCTTGGGTTTTCACAATTTTATAAAAACAGCTGCTCTAGTTGATGCTAAACTATTCTTTTTATCAAGAATTTTTGGTGTTCAGTTTGCCTTTGATTTAAGTCCAACGCCCTTTTGAAAATCATGAAGTTTTTCTAGGGTTTGACATTTATTTTTCGTTTTCGTGAAGCAAAGACGTATGAAAATGGACACGTGATAGAACGGGTACAGCTAAAATAGATTGCGATAAAGGATTCGTACAGCGATGTACAGGCGATAATCACGACAATCATAACTTTTGCTCGTACGGTGTCGAGTTTTTGGGAGAAAGGTGTGGCATTCGACTGGTTTTGATTCCCAAAACTTCGAATCAAAACTTCCATCCATTGCGGAGAACCGAGCTGTGATGCAGCACCGTTTTTGTGCCAAAAAAACCGAAGGCCTTTAACAGAGTCTTGGCAGAGCAACGCTCCGAAGATAATTCCCTTCCGCACAAAGAGGTGGCGGTTAACGACCTCCTCGACAAAGCCGATTGATTGACAATGAAATTGATTGACAGTTGTCATGGCAGCAGAAAAGTGACAAAATCTGCTGACAAAGTGCTGACATTATGAACTGAAGCTTCCATATGCTACTTATACGCGGGGCAGACTATAAGCCCTTCACTCGCGCGCTATCGCGCGCGAGTTGCGGGCAATAAAACTGCTCCATTTAAAGTAAAGCGTTTAAGATATCAAAAAGCCTTTGATGAAATCGTGAAGATGTCTCTATTTAATGAAATCGAATCGATAACAGCGATAGGGCTATTTGACAACCCAAAACAACCCATAGATAAAAACTGAATCATTCCCTTTCTTATGTACACAATATAACGTTTAGTAGCATTTATCATGTTATCTGTTCAGTTTTACATGTAGTTACATGTAGTTCATGATGATATTGATATGGTATCTGCTTTTGACAAAGGCAAGCTGGTGTAACAGAATTTATCATAACATAGGTTCTTGATTTATCAGTATCTGACTATAAATTGCACCCTACTTTACTTGGAGGCACATTTTTGCTCGGCTTTGCGCTGGCAGGCGCAAAATATTATTAATGAGCCCTGTTTAAAAAAGTGTCCAAACATTGCCAAAAGCAACTACCTTGCCCTCTCAACCATGACAAAAAACTATAAGAAACATTTATGGACTTTAAAGTGTAAAGATTTGGAACAAAATATGTTGTAAATTAAAGAGAATATTACTAAAAGATCTTTTGGCAGGCAAAAGCCGCAAAAAAAGTCTCTTGGAAAGCTATACAAAGTATAGCACTCCAAATCTCTGATGAAAAAGCCCCTTTCTACTAAAGCCTCACTATACAATAAAACATCTTTATTTTCGTCGTATATTTGTTGCGTCTTCAATTTTTGTTTCTTGCATTTCACTAATTAAAATAATTTAAATACTAATAAACTTCAATAAAACCTTAAATTGTTGACTTACACAGTACACTAATGACTCCAATACCTAAAGAACCTGAACAGTGTCTTGAACACTACTCTTTCTAGGCAAGTGTCAGTGTCCTACATCACTATTAGTTGAAAGGATATAATAAATGCTATCTTAAAGTATTTCTTGTAAGTGTTATTATTGTTATTAAAGTTGAGAAATCAATGAAATTTGAATTTGAATTACATAAATTTTAGGACCAGGGACATAGTACAGTGCTTTGGTAGGGGAAAGCCTATAGAAATGTGGTGAAAACAAGTTTTTATGATGTTCTTTCATGCCATTTGATCAAAATCCAAAAGTTCTGAAAGATATTTTTATGACATCATCACATTGCCACCCTTTTATAGCCCTGAAAATTTGTTGGCCTAGGGCCCCATGAGCCTTAATCCGGCCCTGCTCAGAACTACTGCAAGGCCTACGAACCTCATTGGTGTTGCAACTTTTGCTCCTAAACAGAAGGTTGCCCAATTGAGGTGTTTCAAGCCAATTTTTTGGTGTTTACAAAGAATATTTTTTAAACTTAGTTTCTAGAGTAATTGTTTGCTATATATCTTGGGGCCCTAAGCAGAAACACAAACAGTTTGTAAAATATCTGCAGTGAAGCATCACCTATTTCCCACCTGCCCTACCACCAAAGATGCCCACCCCTAATTTACTCCGTATGAAGCTTTCGCTAATTTAACAAGGAAGCCTAGGCCCTTTCTAAACCTCCTATCAGATAGCTTAAATCTTAGGAATGTTCTTTTTACGAGAAAGGGCATTCCTGTTGTAGGTCAAAATGAGTGAACGTTCTCTGTGTACATATGTAAATAAATATTTTGTAAAAAGGTGACATAAAAAGCAAGCTCACAATTCATAAAAATCACAGAAACTGCATTGTGGTTTGCCTAACATGCAAAAAGAAGCAAAACTAAGAAAATCAAAGAAGCTACCAAGCTGTTTATTACCTAGGCTTGGAAAGCAATAGTCTTTGATGCTATGAGATTCTAAGATAACTGTTTTGAAACACCTATTTACTTTATAAACTAATAATGCTAGAGGGATATTAAAAATTCAAGAAAAGGACTTGCACTGGTTTAAAACTTTAAATAATTTAAAATTTTCAGCCAAAACAACTTTTGGGCAAAACCAGAATTTGATTGTTTATGGTAAGAATTGTTTGAGCCCCTGCAAAAAGCTACATAACATGCAGACGTCAAATAAGACCTGTCAACAGCATTCAGCTATTCAATAGAAACCCTGTACAGTATTTTATGGTGGAAGAACACTCCTGCTTAAACTTTGCTATAGCCTCCATGTTATAAAGCACCATTTCAAAATTTGAACTTTTCTAAATATTTACTTTCAGAAACAGATGATGAAATCAAGAAGATACCTGTGGAAGGAAAATCATTTATTAAACGTGAAAACTACTTTGATGACCTTTGTTCGGCTACAGAGGATAACGGCTTTGTTGTGCTGCACGGAACTCCATGTGTGGGTAAGACTTCCTTGGCAACCAACTTTGTTAATCGCACAAAAAGCAAGTATAATAACATAATCTGGATTGACATGAGAGAAATCAATGTGGCTGGTGCTATTGGTGAAATATATGAAAGAATGTTATTAGAACTGAATGTTGATACAAGATCCTTAGATCTGAAATTCTTTAAAAGGGATTTGGAGACTCATTTAAGAAGTTTGGAGAGTAGGAAGAAAACAACACTTTTCATTTTAGATAATATGGAAACATTTCTTTCAATCAAAGATGATGAGAATACTGATCCTCCAATCAAAGGGCTTTTTTCACTTCTTGAAAAAAATTCCCCAACTTATACCAAAGTCATTGCTATATCTAGATGTCCTGCAGACCAACATTTCTTTGGTGCAAACATAAAAAATTTTGAAATTAAACCATTTGAGGATGACCTCAGTGAAGTATATCTCAACAGATTACTTAAGAGACAAAATCAGGATTCCATTGATCAGGAAGTCGTTGATTTATTAAAAGAGAGGTGTTTCGGATCTCCATTGCTCATGGAAATCTTTTCGAAACAGATTATTGCAGCTAGCTCTTATGACAGGAAATGCATCTTGCAAAAGATCAAAGAGAACCCTTTAAAAGCTGCTAAAGAGCTGTCACCATATTATAAGAGGATGATCAGTATTTCGTTAAACTTATTGTCTGAAGAAGAGAAAAATGCTGCAAATTTGTTATGTATTTTTCCTTCAACAATACCCTTGCTCCTGGCAGAAAGGTTATTCCAAAAGAGAGAAATTGATAATCGTTTAATTTTTCAGCTGATTGCTAAAGGGATAATTATAAAAAGGAATGAAATGAATGAGCTTTCAATGCACCCGTTCTTGCAAGAACATTGTCAGGAGAAATGCAAATCGGAAAGACAGAGAAATCTGATGTGTCTCCTCAATATCTATTTGGAGACATTTTTTGAAAAAAGCAAAGAATCCTTCAAATGTGACATGTCTGGAGAAATTGTTAAAGAGTTCAACAGACTGATGTCTTCCTTTGAGCATATGGTAAACATTTTAAGAGACAGAAATAAAAAGGAATCTTGTGGTTCTTCAATTATTAATTTCATAGACCGTCAAAACTTTTCCTCATTCTTCTTATTTTTAAAGTTTCTCTGGTATCAAGTTTCAAAAAAAAAGATAGAAGATATCTTTAACTTCTTACTTGAAAATACTGGAAGTAAAGAGATGATAAAAATTTGTTTGAACGAATTAAAGTGGATTGTTCCGTGTTATTGGGAGCAACAAGACAAGTCTGAAGACTGCAAAGGAGTAGATGGATATGAATTTGTTGTATATGAGCGTATTAGACTTTCAAAGGAAGTGTATGATGATTTTGTTAAAGGTTTTAAGTACAAACAGACAGAAACCCTCAAAGGGAAGCTTGAAAAATTGTTAGAATCTGTAGAAAACTTAGAAAACCACAAACTTAAAGCATACTATCTTATTAAAGTGAAAAAGCTGTTGGCAAAAGTATACCACAGCAAAAAAGACTTTGCAAAGGCAGAAAGCTATCTAGAGGAGTGTCTGGATGTTTCAAAGAAAGCATTTGGTGTGAGTTTTTGGACTGTTGACTGCTTTGTAGAGTTGATTAAAATTTCAATGAAACAGAAGGACAACAGTAAAGTAAAACAGTATCTTGACAGTGCATTTGAGATGGGACATAAAGGTGGATTCACTGATCATCACAAATTTTCTAACGTTTTGGTAATCAAAATGCGATTTCTTCATTCCATCAGTGATGAAGAAAACTTGCATGAGATAAGAGAGCTAGGGGAAAAGGTAATACGCTTGTCATTAAGTGGAGGAACTAAGCTACTCTGTCAGAGTTTGAAGAGTATGATAATCTCTGATAAATCATATATAGAGGAAGCTATGGATATTTTCAAGAAAGTTAAAACCCCAGATGAAAACTTTGTAGAGATGGTGGATGAAACCTCAAGGATGTACACGTGGTATAAATACAACATCGACAAGAATTTTTTACAGGACAGACTCAGAACTGGGGTTGACATTTTGCAAAGGTCTATTGCACTCCTACAAAACACTATTGAAAGGCAAGAATTTTCCCAAGAATTTGACGGTCCTTCCATTAATAATGCATTATTTCGTTGGAACATGGAACTTGCAATGAGGCATGGAGATGTGCTGCAGCAAAGTCAGAGGAAAGTTCATGCACATGAGGCTTTAAATATTGCAAATCTTGAAAAGCTTGAAAATCATGTAGAAGACAAATTAGTGCTTGAGCAGATAGCAGAACAAGACTACAGTTTAGAGGAAGAGAAGCTGATTCTCCAGGCCACATTCCTAGATAACTTTTTCAGTTGCATGCCAAAATGGGCAAAAAAAAGGAAAGAGGGAAAGAAATAGATGAGCTCAAAAAAGCTTTGGAGAGTTGCAGTAATGAGGAACATGTCAGCTGGGTGAGAGCCAAAATATTGTCAACCATTATCTGCGTTTCTCCTCTACAAGAGGCTAGCAAGTATTTAGAAGAACTTGTTGATATACTCAAAGTCATGAAAAATTATCTAGTCAAGCCATTTAAAGTTGTGGAGAACCATATTTTACTTCAATTGAAGAATGTCCGAGCTGAAGACAAAATCAAGTACAAGATAATGTGTCTTGATTTTATTAAATTACTTGATACACAAAATTGTTACCTTGGTGAAGAAAAGGCAGAGTGTTTGCAGTTTTATTTTATGGTCCTACTGATAAAAAATTTTCCAGAGCCAAGCCAGAGTCAAATGGACTTTGCAAAGAAGGCATTAAAAGTTGGTAATCAGAGAGGTTTGTTCAAGAAAAAGTATGAAGGATTGGACACTGAACTTGAAGACAAAATTTCAAGAGGTGTCGATCCTCATTACAAATCTAAGTAGACAAAACTTTTTCAGTGTTGCACTTGCAATATTGGCATAAATATGAACAAGACATTTTTATAAACTGAATTCAAAAGAAACAATGAGTCTGAGCTTTTCAAGGATTCTAAACAATTTTCACGAAAAATGATTTCCAATGATTACCTTTTCCAAAGGAGAAATTGAGTAAATAAATTTAAAAAAAGTTTCACGAATGAATGCATGATTTTGTGCGTTAGAATCTTGTAGATGTTTGAATTTTATTGAGGGGTAAAAGTTAACGGATGCAGATGAATTTTAAATACATTTAAGAGTATGTATATAGGTTTACTGAAAGGCATCCTGATCTTAAGTTCATATAAATGCAAAGGAAGAATAAGATAACTATCTAATATTAGATAATCCAAAAACCTATGTTGTTTATAAAAGATGTGGGGATAAAAAGAGAATGTTATCCCTTGATGATTTTCTGTCTGTATTTTATAAACAGGTTTCTGCAAATTATTAGCATAACTGATTAGGTGACCTAATTTGTTTTCAACCCCATAAAAACTCAATTAAGCCAAAACGAGGATTGTATATTACTCAAAGTTCTAGAGGAGTCTTAACCAACAGTGCTTTTTAGAAGGGCATACAAAAAAGGGAGTAACAAGCAAGCAGGCTGCTTGTAAAATATGCTTTGACGTGAGAGCGCTTACACTCATTTTTGTAATGAACAGGTCGACCTTGAATACCCCTGTTTCTTAACGCTTTAGAAAATTTCTATACTCGTTTTTTCTTAGAGCCTGATTTTCATATATCACGATTCATCGGTGATGATCCCTTAATAGTTTCCTAATTATTATACTGTCATTACAAGTTTGACCCTTATGTAGAATTTTTATTTAGCCTAATTTATGTAGATAGGCGGCGTTGATAGAGGGACTGTAGAAAAAAGTAGAAATATTCGGAACCGTTTCAGTAGGTGTATCGTGTATGTGTACCAAAACAAAGTGAGCTTGTGTATCGGTACTATTCTGGGAAGTTATGCAACAGAAACAGCTTTTGAGAGATCATTTATACAAACGAAAAATAATAAGGGCCAAGGCAAGAACCTTGTGGCACTCCTACATCTATTATTGTAGCATGTGCTTCCCGGAACTGATTGTTATTGTATGTAATTTAATAATGTCATCGTCTCTATCTGAATCTTTGTACTCTGTTGTTTGTACAGTATGTCTGTTGTTCTGTCTTGATGTGTTGATTAACAAACTGTGATGTTGAATAGAATGATTAGATCTAGATTGTAAAGATCAGTTGTTGGATTGAATATGAACATATGAACATATGAACTTGTATTTGTCTTCCTCGCTACATTATCTCTAAAGTTGAATCAACACCATTGGCCAGTGGCAGTTTTAAGAGGGGTCCAGGGGACCATGGTCCTAGGTCCCGTGCTTTTGGTAGCCAAAAGGGGCCCACACCTAAGAAAAAAGATAGAAATTGTAAAGAACAAGGGCCCCACAGATGTTTTTGGCCCCGGCCCCCGCAGTCCCTAAAACCGCTGCTGCCATTGACCCTACATAACTTTCTTCGATTGGAAAATTAAGATTGAAACTATGACAGTTCACAATTTTGAACTTCATATTGCTCAAGTTTCCTACAAAGAATGTCATGGTAAACGGTAACAAAGGCCTTCTCCAAATCAATAGATACCAAACATGAAAAAGCTTTCCAACAACCAAACCATTGTACCAATCGTTGGTGTTTTGAGGAGACAAGTTAAGGTGGAATAAAGTTTTATGAAACCAGACTGGTCTGAATAGAAGAGGCTATTTTCTCCAAAAAATTGGTACAAAATTATTTCAAAGTTTTTAGTTTTGTAAACTTTAGACTTCCATTGTTATTAGGATTTAAATTTAGCTCTTTGGTGATGATATATCCGTTTGTAATTAGTTTAGTTTGATAATTATTTTTCTCAAAGAAATTTTATGCTGAAGGGCAACCCTCCCTAAAGAATTCGAATGAATGGATAAATGAGTTGTGCTCATGTTGCTTGACGTGTTTTTTTCTTGTCGCTCTCTGCCGCTGATTTGAGAGATCGTAAGTTTATGATTTATCCTTTTTTTACTTACGCAGTTAAACCAAATTGCTAAAACGAGCCAGCTGCTTCGAGAAGGAAGGGCAAATAAAAATTTTTCTCACCCTGTAGTATAATTGTAACCTTTTTTCCAAAAATTGTAACGTATTAACATTTCTGTAGCAGCTGAACTTTTAAAGTATGGCACTAAAAATGCTTGAATTGAATTTTGCGAATGCTGAATTTGGAAATAGAAACGCACAAAGGTATGAGATTACTAATCTTATGACCACACCCTTGAAAAGCCTTTCTTCTCGCCAAAAATCAATTTTGTAGCCCAACGAAAATTTTTCAAGATTCGCCCTTTTTGTGAGCTCATATTTATTGTCCAAATGCCAAAGGCAATTTTTAAGGCCTAAACCACTCACAACACCATTACCTCGATCAGTGGCATGGCTAAGAATTTTTGTGGAGAAGCAAATAAAGCTAAAGTTTTTAAAAATAGAGTGTGCCCTTTATTGGGGGGGGGGAAGGGATTGCATCTAAAAGAAGAAGTTGGGCTCTTGTAGATAACGCATTTCAAAAACAACATCAGGAAGTAGACATTTGTTATTGTTAGCATTAAGAAGAGACATAACCCCTTTGAGCCCCCTAATCAGAGATGTAGTGGTGGGAGGCGCAGCCCCCCTTGTTAAAATTTTCGAAAAAAGTGGGGGGCTCAGCCCCCCTCATTGTTTGTGCTTGGATACAGCCAAGAATCATATAATGCAAAGAAAGTAAAGAAGAAGTGAAGAATTGCTACTTCACCAATGGTCAGCCATTAACAACTAAACAAGAAAAGGAAAAGAGAGACAACTGGAAGATTTAAAGGCATTGCAAGCTTTATATGCATGAAAATGTACACAAATTTTAAAGTATACAGATAGAAAATTATTGAATGATTTCTTACTGAGTACGTTTAGTTGCAGTTTTGTATAGACAGTTGGTAAAAGCACTAGATGCTCTTATCTTTAGGATAATTTTAGGCTCGGGTGTTCTTAAAGCTGTATTTATTTCAAAATTGATTTTCCCTATGTGCAAACTATGAACACTTTCCAAGTCCACTGAATAACAGTTCTGCATGACATTTTTAGTAGCACTGTTCATTAGCTGACAAAATAACCTCTGTTTGTTAACACGGGGGGAAATGTTTCAATTCAAAATCCAACCAATGGGTCATTATTTTTAAAAAGAAAGCTCTGCCTTATCGATGCCATAAATATTTTAGATGCATTTCTTAACATTGTTGGAATGCCATATATAAAAACTTTTCTCCCCGCCAACCATGGTGGCGGCTTTCACTTAACCCCTGAGAAATAAAAACATTTGCCTCCTCACTTGCAATAAAGTCCCCTCCCCCGCCGCACTCTTTCCTCATAGACTTGATGCTCTCATGTCAGCTGACGTTAACACAGTCAGTGTACCTGGCTGCTCAAAAAATGTTTAGAAAAACATCAACCCTCGCCATGTTCAAATTTAAATGACTACATGACAAGAACAACTTATAAATTTCATAGAGCCCCCCTTGTTAAAATTTTACGACTTCATCCCTGCCCCTAATGTATGCCGCTGTCCCTGAGCAGAGCAAGGGCATATCATTGTCGCATGTCGCATGAAGAATTGCTCTGTTTTGAGGAATCAAATCTGGAAAATACTTTCAAAAAGCACATCATTTTTCTTCCAATTTTCTATCTGAGGCTAAACATGTTTACGCTACGCTGTTCTAATATTTTGCAAATCGAGCTTTCTTAAAGAGAAAAAGAGTGTAAACTATCAATAATAAGGCTGTTTCTGTATTAAGGTTTGAGCTGGGATATTCAGGTAGACAGAAGAGAGAAAAGGACTGAACAAGAGAAAATTTGGCGAATTCGACCCCGGTTAAGCGGCAGGCACACATTTTTCCCCCATTCTTGTGGCAGGCGCGTCCCTACGCCTTTTGAAACACATAACTCTTTTCGCCTCCATGAAATATTTTTTAAAGTTACAAAATTTCAAGTAAATAAAGTCATCTTCATGCAATCGGCTGAAAGCGCGGACACATTCTTGACACCCATAGCAAAATTGATTGGCAACGTTGATTAGTTAAAATGTTCACCTTCAAAGTCTTACTACAGTGATGACAAGCCACTTTTTCTAACTATAAAACTTCGAATGAAACAATAAACTCATCAAGTTTTCGATATCTCTGCATGAATGCAAAAGGTTGTGAACCAGTATTAATCACAACGAAGCAGTGTTGATAATCGTTAATCATTGAGAGTGATCGAGAACCATCATGGGTCATAATAAATCCGCGAAGGCCATCGTGAATCAGCTAAAATGATCGTGAATCTCTGTTAATCATTGTAAATCGGCATACCGTAAAAGTTCTATTAAGCCCCCTCTCTAATAAGCCTCTATCAAGCCCTATTACCATGCCAAAATTTAGAATAAGCCTCCCCTCTCTCTTGAGACCCCCTTTAGCCCCTGATGTCAAAAGATCTTGTGCAATAAATAGGGCCCATAATGATTTCTTTGTGCGCCTTAGAAGTCAAGATGATACTGATGTTGAAGCTTTTGAAGAAATCCCAGAGCATTGTAGCCTTTTTTATATGCTTTATTTTGAATAATTAAAAATCCCTCTCTCAAATAAGCCCCCCACCCCAGTATAACAGAGTCTGGGATTTTTCGAAGACCAGACACTGCTTTCACCAACTAATGGGATAAATGATCCAGTGGAAAAAGCTGTCAAAAAATCTATCATTAAAAAGATCAAAGAAGGCTACAAACTGAATAAATTTGAATGCAAACCAGTGACTATTAATGAGGTACTTTTACGAATTCAAAAACTGAATTCAAAAAAGGAATCTCCCCTAAATAGCATTCCAGCTAAGATCCTCAAACAGCATGCAGACATTTTTGCTGTCGTCATCAAGAAGATCTTCCATTCTAATTTATCTGAGTGCTATTTTCCAAAGGAACTGAAAGCTGGTGAGGTCTCGTCCCTGTTCAAAAGTCTTGATGCCTTTATTAAGAAAAATTATAGACCTATAACGGTTTTATCGTCTGTTTCCAAAATTTACGAGAGAGTAATGGAGGGTCAGATAAAACCTCATTCCCTTAACTCCTTCTCTCCCCTTCTGTGTGGATTTCGAGAAGGATATGGAGCCCAACATGCCATTTACGACTCATAGAAACCTGCAAAAAGACTTTAGATAAAAGGGGTGTCGCTGGAGCACTGCTGATGAATCTCTCAATGGCTTTTGATTGCTTGAATCATGAGCTTTTGATTAAGTGCTAAATTAAGTGCTTATGGTTTCAGTACGAGTGCATTGCAGTTGATCCATAGCTATCTCAACGAGAGGAAGTAGGGGGTAAAGATGAATGGGTCCTTCAGCACATGGAGAGAAACAACGATTGGTGTACCACAGGGCTCGGTCTTGGGACCTCTTCTGTTTAACAAATACCTCAATGATCTCTTAACGTTTTTGAATGATGCTAAAATATGCAACTATGCAGGTGATACAAATATCTATGCTTGTGACAACAGTATTGATGGTATCATTGAATTGAAACATTAGAGAGTGATGCCCTTAAAATTGCAGAATTGCAAAAGTTATGATACTTCTTTAAATATCAGAAGTGTCAGGATAAAAGAGAGCACGGAAGAAAAGCTGCTTGGAGTGATTCTGGACAAATCATTATGCTTTAAAAAGCAATTAAGATCCATTTGCACAAAAGCTGGGCAAAAGCTACATGCTCTCAAGAGAATCTCTCACTTTCTTGACACTGAACAACTAAAGAGAATAATGAAGGCATTTATCTTGTCCCATTTCAACTACTGTCCTCTTGTTTCGATGTTCTGCGATAGAATACTTAATAGTAAAGTTAATCGTATTCACGAACGGGAATTGCGGAGCGGATAACTTACAAAGATATGAAACCAGATTTTGACACAATGTTACTCAGAGACAATGCGGTCCCAGTCCACATCAGGAATTTACAACTGTTGATGATTGAAATTTATAAAACAAAATGGGAGCTTAATCCCACTTACATGAAGGATGTCTTTATTGAAATCACAGTACTTGTGTATTGAGAAGCTGCCACAATCTACTACTGCCACGAGCGCGCACTACGTGCTATGGCTTAGAGACGGTGTCGTTTCTAGGGAGTAGATTGTGGCAGGCACTTCCCAATGACATGAAACAATCAGATACCTTCTCCAGCTTTGAAAAGAGAATAAAATCTTAGAAAAGGAGAGGAATGCAACTGTAGATTGTGTAGACCTTTCGTGGCTCAGGTTGGGTTCTTGAAAGGATAAATGCGCTGTATTGTAAATGCAAAAAAAGCTGTAAAAACATTGTAAAATCTGTATATATGTATCTATACTTAATTATATCTTATGTTAGATATATATGTATTTTTAATTTTTTTTATTTTCAAACAATTTTACTTTGTAGTAGGCTTGAAATAGCTTTTATTCTGTTGCTATTTTTATATGCCTACTTCAAATAAATAGATAATAATAATTATTACCAGTAGAAATGATGCAAGAATTTTAGAATTTGCCTACAGATTTTTACGCTTGCGCCGCAAGCGTAGCATACATAGACGCTATGCCACTGGGCCTATTTCAATCCACAACTGGGTATATATTTTCCATCTTGTTCTTTCGGACCCTTAATCTGACGTTTTATGCTCGAGGAGTGTCAGACGAAAAAGCTTTTAGTAATAATGTTATGAAATGTTTGCTTTTTTCAAAGCCATTTTCAGGCCTCATATTTTGATAAATTCATAAAGAGAGGTATGGATGGGAATGAAAAAAATCGATATCTCTAGTTAACAAAAAAACAGCAACGGGGCATGTTATAGATCAATGGTAAAATCGAGACAAACAAAAAACCGTTGCTGACTGAAATGCTTGCTAATCAAATATTTCATAACTGTAGCACAGAAACCTGTATGTAAAATGAAGCCTCCAAATTACACCATAAAAGCTTTTGAAAAAATTTAACTTGGACAGTCTTTTTGACTTCTGTATTGCTGTATTGCAAGCGAAGAAGCTGATATAATGGATTGTTAATCTTGATGAAAGCAAATAAAATTACACATGCCTTGAATACATTTTGTCGATATTGTAGCTGTTTTAACAGCGCATCCTCAATTGATAAGTCTAAAAGGCATCATCAAGGTTTATCGAGGTTTATGGGACAAGTCTCATTTTTGTAAGGATACCAATACATCTTGAGATTCTCAAGATCATGCTGTTTCAAACGAAGGTTTTGATTCAGCAGGAATCCACGATACTTCTCTCATTTGATTTATGATTTATTTGTCATCCACTGCTAGGCTGATTTTGTGACAGACATTTTCTGGGTGGAGGGATGGCCATGAACCTGGATTTTTTGACGTTGAGAATAAATCTGTTTGAAACAAACCAATTTGAACCTTAAGCTAATTCACTTTTGACAGGAGTTTTCGCATAGGCCTTTTGCATTTCATCATTCATGTAAGATTTGGACCAATTAAGAGCAATTCCCCTTTTTGCTGTAATGTTCTAATTTGACAGTTAGTAAGTTATATTCGACAGTATCAAAGACTTTTGCTAAATAAAAAAACACGCAACATGATAAATTCGTTTTTCAAATTACGTTCATAGATTGATTGTTTAAGTCAAAAATAGCTTAAGATGTGTCCTCTTCCTACGCAATTCAATTCACCGGAATTTGCTTCATAAGCATCAGTGGTTTTATCTTCGTCTAGAGTTATAAATAGGGTTTTAGCTTCCAGGGGTGTAATTGGTGTTATGAAAAAGTGTCACTGTTAGCATTTAAATAATTCTTGAAATTTATATTTGTAGGCCTAAGTCAACTAGCATGTTTTTGTGGTATGTTAGAAAAGACTTTTTAAACTGGCTCGCTACTGCTATAGGACTTAAATAAGATTGTTATAAAGCTTAATGTCATTAGTAGCAAAGAAAGTTTCCTGCTGAGTATGTTATTCATCTTTCCAAATTTTATTTTAATCATTTTTGCATGTTTCCATATATGTTTGATGAAGACCGATTTCTTACGATGACAGACGAAAAAACGACATAATTAGTATACAAGGAAATATGACCAATTCTTTTGAGTAAATTGATATGTATATATTATCCCGTTAAAAATATTGCAATTTATTCTAACCTAACTTTGTAGACACCAACATTGCTGCACCTAAGAGTATGGTTTTACAAAAAAGGGGGTTTGAGAAAAGGGTATGGTTCTGATAAACTTATAGGAGTTTCACCCTTAGACCCATCAATCTTCCCTTTTCATGTCAACTAGCGCCACCTCTGCTTATTTCCCATTAAATTATGTTAAAAACCAGTTTTTGAACAAGAATCTGATGTGATGGGATTCATTTTTAAGAAGACTTCGAACGACTGTTGCTAGAGAAACACATCAAAAACGCTTCTATTTATGCAATTCTTGGTGACTTTCATATGCTAAATTGTACTTTTTTGTCATTTTGAAAAACCTATTTAAATCTTTTTACATGCATGTGAATGGAACATGAAAATTCTCTGCTTAGATTTTACATTGAGATCCTTCTATCACGGTTCAAGGCATTGAAATACTTTATAAGTTGGCTGAGAAAAAGGGCAAGTACGTTTTCTAACCAATCAGGCAAATAGTTTAGTCTTTCAAGAGTTACTTCTACCCAAACAACATAGAGTTTAAACAATGCCCTCTTTCTGGTGCACTAGAAATCGGCAAAGTAGTTGTGCTGAACCGCAGGATGACGAGGAATCAAACATAACATCAATAAAGAAACCAAATATAACCATAAACAAGCCCAGCAGAATGACCCAGCATCAGAAGGTCTATACAACAACAAAAAGCCCAATATATATTGAATGGACACGAAATGAGCCAATGAAGATGGAGACACGGGTGTCTGCTGTATCACTATTAAAAAAGTTCTTACCTTTCTTATGCATGTCTTCCAAAGCTTTCCAACTTTCCTTGCGGAATTCTCTGTTCTTTGGATCTAAACCCCTTAGTTTTGACTTTCCTGGCCAGTGTATAAGATAAAGGTCGATGTAACTGCTACCCACATCAGTAAGCGACTTGAGAAAGGATTCTTCTGCTTCCTTGTACCCATGATTTTTGGGGGCTATAAAGAAGTTTTTTAAGAAAGATCAAAGAAAGAGGTAGGATGAAAAGAACTCTGAAAAGTCCAAATAGCCATAACAGACCAAAGCTGCATACCGATGACAGATAAAAAACACAAAAGCTAGAAGTTCCTTGTGTTCAAAATACACCAGATATTATAAGAGCTACTGGTAAATCTAAGTGCCAAAACCTTGTGTAGGGATACACTATACAGGAGACATGTTTCGTAAAATCTTCCTGTTGTACATATTGATAATAACACAAATGGTTATTCCTACAAAGGCGAATGTTTGAAGAAGTTGGCAGACAGGTCAGACCCTGGCAATTACCGGTCAATTTCTCTAACTTGTAGTTGTATAGCTTGCCGAATTTTGCAGCACACTATTTGCTCAAAGGTAACGGACAGAAACTACAACTAATTATCAGGTGCACATTTTAGTTTTAGAGGATACAAACCTTGCAAATCCCACCTAATTTTTGCATAAACGATAGACTCCGGGGGCCAAACTGATGTTATTTGCTGGACTTTCAAAAGCATTTGACAAGATATCTCTTCACAAAAAAAATTGCAAACGAGGCCAGATAAATCAGGTTCATGAAGAAGCAAGATCTGGAGAGGTTGTTGTATCATCTCGAGTACAAAGTTTTGTGTTTGAACCATTACACTTTGCTATATTCATAAATGATCTACCACCAGGGATGCCGGAAGTATGACGGGGCAAAGGAGGCAGACTTTTACAGAAGGTATGCAGAAGTAGGCGAGGGAAGTGAGCCAAGTAAAAACGAAGGGGGGTTCAGGCTGCTCCCCCGTGTTACCAAACACTATAGTTTGGCTCAAAACTAAATCAAGCTATATTTTGTTGTACTTAACATTGGAAACTATCGGAAATTTTATAGCACCCTTCTCTGCTTCGACTCTTTTTTATTTGAAAGTATTTTCATGTAGAATGTCTAGTCGTAGACAAATCTTTGAAAATTTTCAAATTCATTTGAAAGTGAAAAAGAGAAGATAACAGAATTTTTTTATTCTCCAGAGTACATTTTTGCTATTCGCTTTTATGTTTTATGCGCCAAGGACGGAGTTTTGTCAAGATTGGGCCTTAAATTTTATGCTATAGGCGAACATCACCTTCAGAAATGATGAGAATGTTTAAAAACATGACTGATCTTGGTTTGCTAGTGCGAAGTTCAATTCTTCCTACCTTTTCTTGGCTAAACTTCTGCATGAATTTGTACCAATCATAAGATGTAGCAGAGACAAAATAAAACATTTTGGCCAATGCTCTTTGCAAGGGAATGTTTATCTTACCAATAAAGAGATTCAATCAGTATTTTTTGAATACGTAAGCAGGGGCGGTACTAAAAACGTTTTTTAGGGGGGTGTCAAGTGTCAGGTTGCCGGGTAGGAGATTTTTCAATTAGATAAAATGAAGGCATACTTTGCTGTCGAAAAATGCCGTGATCATTCCCCCGTTTGCTTACTATTGAATTTTATGATTCTTGAACAATTTTCCTACTGTTAGTGTAAATGAATATTAAAAATTTGTCACATCTTATGTAAATCGGCTCGTTTTTTTAAACCCTCAGTTTATCCCCAACCCTAAAGTACCATCCTGAATATTATCTTGTGATTTTGAGGTAATAGCAGCCCAAAGCAACATCACAATAAAAAAATTAAGCATTGGCTTAAATACTCAAAATGATCTCAGCGATGAAATAGTAATTAGACACAGGCGCGCAAGGCCAGTCGTAAAAAGGATATTGGGATAGGCTTTCCTTTTGAAATCTTTCTTTGATAAAACAAAACTTTCTTTATTCAATCATTAAACATGATAGAATAGGAACCATTTTACCTAGAATAGATTACGTTTTTGCTAGCTTCCAGATTATTGCAACACAGGCAATAAAGAAGCACACGATAGTTACTACTGGGGGAATTTTAGGCTTTGATGCTTCCAGTTCGCTGGAAAATGCACTTATTGGATCAATTTTTTCTACCTTACAATCAGAGTCAGGAAAACATCACGGTCGCACGGCAACTGACCCGAGGAAGGTCCACGAAAAACAATAGAAGCTCCTATGACACACCCAAACCACGCCCACTTTCTATTGTTTTGTGAGGAAGGTTTGCCTGCTGGGATGTTTTTGTCTGGAGGAAGGTTAACAACTTTTCTGGACTGCTTACAATACAACCTTACTATTATCCAAAGGCGGAACGTAATTTGACGGTTTTGTCGATTCTCTTGGAATCATTCTCGTCATTCGCGCACCCAACCCTGGAACATTGTAATGTGGGGCTTGGTTTCCACTGGTTTCAGTTTGCAAATTAACAGTTTAAATATTAACGTGCGAAGGAGCGAAGAGTACCAAATCGAAATTAAAATGAAAACAATCAAATATACCATCGACTAAGTTTGCCGAGTAAGCACCAAAATGCCGAATCTGCAGAGTAAAGGACCGATTTGTAGCTCTTGGGGCTGTCACCCCAAGAGCTACAAATCTTGTTTATTGCGACACGAGCAATAATCTGCAGCTTGCAAAGACTTAACCTACCTAAGTGCAAATGGTTCCTGTTATGTTTCATGACCAAACGACGTCTTTTTTATTCCACAGAAAAGTTTAGAACATTGAGAATATAGAAAAATCACTGGAAAAATCTATAAGAACTTTCTTAATATGTATTTTGTCTTTTTAGGGACATTTTGTTACAATAAAGCGAGTCCCCTACAAAAAATACTGATGCCGCCCTAAGTAGCAGCTCTTTTCTTTGTTAAAGTTTGTGCGTCTTTTTGCAACTGCGATTCACTGTTTTATCTCCGATTGCCAAGCCCCCCCCCCTGTTGGAAGGTCAAGTCCCTCTGCCACCACTGACAGGGGCATAGAAATTTGTTGAAAAGTAGTGGCAACCGTGAATAAACGGTCGCATTGCATGGTTGAAATGAAGCGTAAATCGATTATTTTTCCTACGAGAGTGGTGGGAGAGGAAATGTCAATTCAACTGACAGAAGCCAAACAGCAATTTTGTCAGAAAAATTGCACTTGGGTAAAAACTTTTATCAAACTCTTTTTAGGTGTCAATTTTAATTTTGGACTTTTTCAGCCACAAAAGTGATTATAATTCTACCTTGAAATTCACAGACAGAATCTTGATTTTTCCAAAAATCACTAACGTTGGGGGCTCTTGCCCCACTAGACTCTAACAATTTCCACCCTTGAGCACTTTACCATGCTGGAAAAATTAGTGGGATATGCCTAAGGCTCCTGTTCTCTATGCATTTGACTGTGTCATCATTTCACCTATTAGCAGGAGTTTTAACAGTGCAAAAATGTAAGTGTAAAAGTTCATACACAGTTTGCTTGTTAGAAACACATCCTCTCTCTTCAACCCCTTCTTGTGTAGTAGATGTTTAAAATGTTTTCCAAGCAATTGCTCGTTCTGATAAACTGACGCAGTATCTGAAAGTAGAAAATATAGCAAACACAAATAAATGACTTTAAAGTCACGTTCAGAAATTGAGGTTTCATATAGACTTTAAAGAATATGACCCTAATCCTATATAATTCTGAGAGCCATTGAGAATTCCAAAAAGATAGGATCTGTTAAATAGTTTCAAGCAAACATTACCAATATGCCTGTAGCCAGTGTCAAAAGCAACTTCTAAAACATCCAACAATTCCTCTTCCTCTTTAATTTTGAAGGTTCCAACTAAAATATAAATTCAAATGTTTATATTTATGTTTAAATATGGTCATTAACTAAACTTGTAATTTTGTGTTAAACAATTTTTTCATTTCTATTGGGTCATTTGTTTTGGGTAAATTTAAGCATGATACATTTTCCTTCCAAATTATGAAGCATTCAAAACATGAACAAAAGCAGTAATTCTGTGACAATAATTTGCAACAGAAAAATTCAGAGTACATTGTTAAACAATATTTTAAAAGGAAAAAGACCTTGGAGGCTTAACAGTGACATTGCATGGAACCAAACAATTTTCCCACTTTTCACTGCTGTATAACAGGTTTGAGAAATATGACTTCAGTCCTGTCAACTGCGAGGACCAAGATACCAGGGGCCTTGGCCCCCTCAAAAAGCTTAAGTAACATAAGTAAAATACCTTTATTTTGTAAAATATGGCTGTTGTTACACTAATTTATCAAGGCTGGCCCTCCAAACAAAAAGTTTTATCTCAGTCTTTGGTCAACTGCTCTAGGTTTAGCTTGTTTCTCCTGGTCTCCTATTCCTTTTTAAATTGTCCCCATGTCTCTCCTTTTTTAGCGTGGGTATCAATTACTTTCTTCATGACAAAATTTTTGTTAGTAAAAGAAAATTTAGCATGGGTATCAAAAACTTTCTTCATTGCCAATTTACAAAAAGAATAAATATATCAAAGAAGTAGTTTCTTGTTATAATTTTTGTCAGTAACTGTATGCCTAGCGCAATGTTTTACATCGGTTGCTTATATAATCCAATGATTTTGAGCAAATCATGGTGCCTTTATAACAACTGCTGATGTTACAAAGCAGGCACAAATGCCTTCAACAAGGTAAAATGCAGGGTAGAAGGAGGTCAAACATAAAAGGACACTCAGAAAAAGCATTTTTGAATACTTGGCTCACACAAAAAATAAGATAAAAAGTTAAAAGTATTTGTCTGTAACTGAATTTATTTTATTAATGTTATAATACAACTTAAGGTTAAAAATGTACTTTTTTCTAAATGTCTGCATCTTTTTATCTATAATGTCTGTCCGTTATTTAGTCTTGATTATTCTCTACATTGAAAAGGATCTTTCAGCAGAAGCAGGTCTCCTGTTTTGAAAAACGGTACTCAATCCTGCAAGCAAGCACTTTTCAGACAAATAGTGATACTTTCTCTACAGAAAAGGGTACTTTTAAAATTTCTGAAAAAAGTGGGAGGGCAGTGGCGTTTCTACAAAGGGCCATGGGGGCCACGCCCCCCCCCCTATAAATTTTCTTTGCCCCTTGTTTCTTTGCCCCGGCTAGCTCCCACCAAGATTTTTAAGGCTAGATTCGCCACTGTGGGAAGGCCTAGCTAGCCTGTACCATGTCTCCTACGCCTTAGCTTATTTTACATATTGCTGTATCAAGCACTTACAAGGTAACTCTTTCCTATAAAACATTAAGCATCCCTCAATAAGGGAACTGAGATCGTATTATATATTTATATAAATATAGATTGAGATCATCATAAACTTAACCCTACGAATCGTGACGGATTTAGGTTTCGTATCTAACAAAGTCAACTTGCACCTTCAACTGGGAACTAGGTAGCTCTTGCTAAAACTAGATCCACTGTGAATGCTTTACGGAAAGTAAGTACTCATCTTACTCACTTCCTATTAATGGTAATGTTATTGGGGCCCTGTTCTTGAACATATTTCTTGGACTGTTGCGTCGTGCGTCCTCCCTCCCCCTCCGTGACCTTAATTCAATTCAATTCAATTCAGTTCAATTCAATTCATGAATATTTTAAACAATAATTAACTAATTACATTAATAGAATATAATTTTGCTTTTTAGAAGCTATAAAAGACAATCATGCAAACAAAAGAATAACAATACATCAATTTAACAGATTACCGTTGAAGGATATATATATGGAAAGAGCTCTGAAATAGCTTTCGAGCCATATACCCCAGTATGTTTAAGATCAAGATCAGTTAATAAACATTCGTTAAATACTAAAAATTAAGAAAACATTATTATGATAAAGATAAAAACAATGATAAAAATTGAAAAGATGAAAATGAACTAAATCAATTGTATAAAAAGAAAGGGGGAAAAGGGGTTGTGGATCATCTTTGATTTTTAGGTTTATTCCTGAAGTAACAGTTGTTTAAAAAGACGTGAAAAGGCTTTTTATGTTACTTGGTATGTTATTCCAAATTTTTATACCAGAGTTTGTTATGAATAAAGATTTGTAATCTGTTCTAAGTTACCGCTAGTAGCATGTCTGGTTCCAATGTTGTGACTCTCGGTAGTGAGAAGAAGGAAGTCACAAATGTAGCTATCAATGTTGCCTTTTGAAACTTCAAACATAAATTTAGCACATTCAATTTTAGGAGGCCTAATGACTTGAAGAGGGTTTACTATCTGTACTCTTTTTGAAAAGAATTATTCTCGCTGCGTGTTTTAGCTTTTTCCTCAAATTGTCCAGAGTACTAGAGTATGCTCCCCCCCCCCACCCCCTTTATGTAATTTCAGCATTTGAACCATTAGTAGGATTTAAGTAGGATTTGAACCACTCCGAGGGAACATCTCTAGTGCCATAATATTCGAGTTTACGAAATAGTATCGTATGGTCAACTGTGTCAAATGCTTTCGCAAACTCAAGAAATATACAACAGTAACATTTTTTAGCTTCTATTGCATCAATTAATTTAGCATAAACATCAAAATTAGCCAACGATGTTGACTTTTTTCTTTTGAAAATCAAATTGATGAGGGTACAATGTCTGATATTATTCGAGAAATTTAATTAGCCCAAAGTACATGAGTTTCTCATAAATTTCGTCAATCAACTAAATGAACCAGGAGTTCTTAAGTAATAGAGTACCGGGTCAGAAAAGAAAATTGGATTTTCTTCGGGGACCACTGAGTTTCGACTTTTGTGTTAAAAATTCAGATCTCATATTTGCCAGACTAAATTGGAGATTAGATGGCCAGGTCTATCATTTCGTGTTAGATTTTTCATTCATAAAATCTATTCAGTAATCTGTCTTATTGGGACTCCGCTTTTGTTCATGAAGTAATTTTTGAAAAGGTGGATCATAGAAGGGAAAGAGGGAAGGCAATGACAACATTGAAGGATATGGTAGGCCGGAAGGCAGGGATACCGTAAAACTTTATTTTAAGCCCCGCGGCTTATTTATTTCATGTCCTAGAGGGGAGGGGCTTATTAGAGAGGGGGCCTACCAATAAGTCGAAGTAAAAAATTTTAAGAAAACGTCTTAATGCATTTTTTGTTAAACAAATGTCATACAATTTGCTAGCAGCTTCGAAAGTTTAGTTAGGGGCCGCAAACATATCGATTTTTCCCCAACAACGTCGTTTGGACGTTTGGAGGGGGGGTTCTTAAGACGTTTTCAAATTGAGATTTTACATCGAAAAATGGTCTTATAAAAATAAATCACAACCTGTAAAATAAGAATTTTACATAACAGACCATAACATAAGAATTTTTTCTGATTCAACCCAACAATAATGTGAAATCAACTTGCAATTGAACTCAACAATAGTACAATATCAACTTAATCTCTATCCTGGTGGCGAAGGTACAGCAACGTCGACATTCATGACTTTCGCAATTATGTAAAAGGACTTCCTGTCAATAATAAGCAGGGAAGATTCCTCAAAAAAGGTTCTATGATATTACATCTATCAAATGTAGTTTCGCAAGGTAGGTCAAAGGATTGTAAGAAAAAATTTCAATTTCATTTAAAGTCAAAAAAGGCTGTGAGCAACTGTATTTTTAACTCTTTGCAGATGATTTTGCTGTCAGAATCGTTCTTAGCACTTAGCAGTGAAATTTGATATGAATGTAGGGTCAGCACTGCAGTCTCCCACACACTAAGCACCGCAAAGCCCCGGCCAGTAACATGCACAAATTTTGCTTATATCGATATTTAGGTCCTGGACGTTTTGTTGGGAGGTAGATGGGGTTTAATTTCAAGATGTTATCAGCAAATGCTGGAAAATTCTGCACAATTCATGCATAAAATGAAATTATTGACTTTAACGTTCAATTTCTTGCTCATCGTTTACCGTTTAAGTGAAAGCTGAACGTCAAGAGGTTTTACATAGCTACAGGTACAAGTTTTATGCATGATACAACATTTTGGTTCTAATGTATAAGAACTCTATTTGTACCTTCTTTTCTGGATGCCATACTATGGAGACGACATGCAGAGAATTTCTAACATTATTTTGAATTTTTTATCAATGTTGCTTTGTTGTACATGTTGTACCAAATTTGACAAAAAATGGAAAGGTCTGCCTTTAAATTACATATCGAATTTAACGTTATTTGAAGGGGTGTAGTAATAAAAAATGATCGCAATCGGGGGATGTGAGGGGGTGTCCCACCCCCCAAAAGTATCCCAATAGGAAATTTCAGGTAAATATTGCTCAGTGGAAGAAATTGTTTAGGAGTTCAGAGACCTTCACGTCTTAAGATCAATAAAGGATCAAGCAAAGGTAGTTGCTCTGTTGGTTAAATATGATATTTTCTTGATATGAATGCAGGTAAACAAACTAAGTGTTAGTGATTTCAAGATTTCTTGTTAGCACTTAATTCAAAAAACAAGGCCATCCTTGGGTAAAATTGTGCCTTGTCTCCATTTTCCCATCCGTTTCTTGGTAGAAGCGTCAACTGCTCCAGATTGTCTTAACATTCGAAAGGAATGCCAAGTTCGAAAGAGGGATCTAAATTGACAACTGGTGCTGCTTGTTACTTCGCTTAAGAAGTAACACAATAACATGGTATTTTCAAGACCACGGCGAAATTGTACCAGTTGTTTTTATCTGCTGTTCAATCTGTTTGCAAAAATAAAAGAATTTTCAATAGGATTAGGATGACTTGCTTAAAATGTGCATTTTCCAGGGAAATGGAAGCATCAAAATTCGAAAATTTTTCAGTCTTTCGGCGGCAACCGTGGTGCCGCCACGGATAGTAACTTTATCCTTTGTCCGTCCCGATATACAGATAAAGGGCCACCCTCTTTTGATGGTATTGGAAAGGGAGGGGGAGTAATGCAAATATCACTGGATATTATGTTCAATTGAATATTTCAAGATAGCATACCTGAGCAATGGGAAAAAAAGAAAATAAAATTGATTTATAGGAAAAAATAAAAGATCTGAAAAACAGGACACGAATATACATTACAAGCATCATATTTACAGAGTTTGAAACGGTCATCAAACAAGATGCAGATAAGAGTTTAAACTTCAACAATAGCCAGAATGGAGGGAAAAAGGAAGATAGCTGGATAGTGATAACGGCATTAATGTTGGAGGAAACAAGACAAACAAGATAGGTAGAAAAAACATGGGTTGCTTTTGCAGACGCAGATGCATCAAGAGTCACCTTCAGAATCTCTCGGACCTTCACTTTGATGATAATTTCACACTATTTAGACAAAGAAATACTTACTGTTAGACGATAAGCCTAAGAGTTTCCAACTCTTCGATTTGGATGACTGAATATCTTTTTATTCGAACAGAAGAAGGCTAGACTTGCCTGTGGCTCTGCTAAAATTGCAGTTATAGATATAAATTGCGGATATTTTTGAAGCAAAGGCTTCATAGATAATAGGATAGCATTTCTCAGACACGAAAATCTTTTCCCCAAGGTTTACGTTTATTTAAGACTAAAAAGAGCCAAAATTACCAATTTATTGCAACCGTATTAGTTCAATAACCGTAGTTTTTTTAACAAATGCTAAAACAATATGTTTTTCCGAAATATGATAGAAAAGTCAGATAGAAATTCACCTCTTTAAAGTTTTATCTTTTATAGTTAAAACAGAAAAAATTGAAATATTAAGCGTACTCTGCTATGGATCAACAATTTAGTAAAGCCTAGATGCATGATAATTATATTCATTAAGCAAAGCAAACACATTTTATCGATTATCAGTTCAACAATGTTTCTTGAAATACAAAAGGTGATATTTTAGGTTATTTTGCTGGCCACGATTGTCATTATCAAACAAAATGGAAGCATAGAGAACATGCAGGTTCTGAAATCAAAGTAATTCTTTCTTCTAGTTATTTCTACCCTTTGCAACTGCCGATGTAGTGTTGGCCCATCCTACCCCAAAGAAAATTTTTTACACTTAACACACATTGTTTGGAGTTGTTACATGTTTCATTTATCTAGTTATTTATAATACTTTGTTGTGTGAATTCCAAAGGAAAATGGCATTGTATGTCAACTATGATGTTCTGATTTGATGTATACATAATACATATCAGATTCATCAACGAAAGTGGGGAAAAATAAATTTGTTATATATCTATATATGAGATGTCGTAATAGAGATAGGGCTGGATAAAGAATGTGCTGCTGTTTCCTGTCTTATACTTTTTTACAAAAAAACATTAGACATTTCAGTAGGCCTTCGACTTCCATTATTACTCTAACTTCACATAGCAAAACGTACTTATACTGAAAGTAAGTCTTTGGTGTTGATATTCAACCAAAATTGCATGACTAAAGATACGAGAGCCTATTCAAATTTGTTTTCAGAAGTAAAATGAACAAAGTAAGATTGACAAACATTTTACAAATATTTTTACTAAGTCATGTACACAAAGATTGCTAATTTGTTAAATACGCCTTAACTACATAAGAGGGCTAATTATAATTAACAACTAATAATCCATAAAAAATGATGATGTTCACTTTCCATGGAAACAAAATCAGCCTTGGTAAGCTATATTTTGCTACTTATGTTTAAAAATCAAGGGGAATGAAGCATGTGTCCCATATTTGATACAGAAACTTGCAAACAGCATAACCATTATTGCACTAAAAGACATCTTGACTGACAATTCAAGGCAATGTGAAAATCAAGCTAATATAAATATCATCATAGTCAAACTTTCAAACCCTATATGTTTGGTTGTAAGGACTATCAGCTCTTCCCAGAATCAATGAAATCTATTTTCATAGGCAAGTTTAGGGTTTAAGCAGTTGTTTGTGAACACACGTGATAATGCAAGCTCTCTGAGTGCCTTATGGTACAGAAAAATATCATTTGAGCTAAATCTGAATTTCCGTACTGTTATGCCAACAGTGCTCTCCTACACCATTTGCACATGGTAAAATAGCAATTAAAATTGACAAATGTTTTTTTGGAATGCAACATTCATTTGCAGCTATGACCACAGAAATACTTAATTCACAATAAAACACAACTCTCTTTATCTTTAATCCCAGTTCCATTTTGCAGTCTTTCAATCTCATTGATTATTGCCAGGAAAATGTCCCTTACACACTGAAAATAAAGGGATATTGCATAAAACTGCATATCTAGAAACAGCTCTTCAACTCTTGTATATGATGGTTCCTAGTGGCTACTCTAAGTTTCATGCATAATGAAATCATCAGACGACTGTTCACTTAGGCTGTGTTCATAATACTGGTTTCATTAGATTGTTTAACTGTTTTCAAAATACTTATTTTTCAAAAGAAAACAGCTTGTCAGATGTCAGACAGTCTCATCAAAGAATGCCATTTAATAGAAAAAAACAACTTTCCACATTCCTAAGCAACTGCCTCAAGACAACAGATTTTTTGGAGCAGCATTGTAGCGAAGCATTGCCGTGTGAACAGAAGTGAATCCGATATTAATTGAATCCTGTATATTGTGAACAGAGCTCCATATTTGTATCAGATTGGGTCAGTGAATCCAATATGAAATGAATCCAGAGTCATGTGAACCAGGCCTTTGTTAGACTTTAAGCATGAAACTCAGTAGAGCAACTTAAAACTGTCCTGTTCTTTACACCAAAAAGTGCGTACAGCTCTGCCTACAGGGCATCAAGCAAATTATGACAGAGCAATAAACAGCAATTTTCATTAGAAACAGCTCTAGATATTTGATCCAACTACTCAACTCTTTATTGGCTGAAACTCAATAAAAGCTTGGTAGCGCTTTGCGTGATCTGTTTGTACATAAGATGTAAGGAACTAAAAAGGTCAGTTCTTATTCATATTGGTTCCTCCATTTATAAATGTGAACAAGCAATGTGTCACCCAATGACTGAAAACAAACATGCTTCATTATATGGATTAAAACTCATTATATTACCTTGTTTTCCTTTGCAGATGACTCAAGAAAAACTGCCTTCCATGAATCAGCCAAGGTTTTTCCTTGTTCCATTGAAATCATCCTGGATACAAACAAATATGCAGTCATTGTTTAGAACAATTTATACCCTTTTTGCTGCTTTAAAGTTAGATGGAAAAGTACAATAGGAGAGAAATTCCTTGCTGATTAAACCAAGATGACATAGTTTATAAGGCTAGGAAGTTATATGATTTAGCTAATATTTCAATGCTTAGAACACTTGGAACCAATTTTGCCAGTTAACTGGAGGTGCATCAATTCTGGTCTGGGAAAAAGGCCATTTAATAAAAATCTGTTCTCTCCCTATCTTTGACCCGTCCCAAACATTCAAATTTTAAATGACCCCCACCTCTTGCAAAATTAGAGAGTTTTTTGCAAAATCTTGTGTTTATTAGTCTTTTACTTGCCCCTCCATTTTCTGACTTGCGATGGAGCCCCTTGTTTGCACATAAATGTAGTTACAAAATGCAAGAACCTAATAACTAAGGATTCAAATACATACCTTTCCATATGTAAGTCTGTTTTGTTTCCAACCAATATTATTGGTAGACTAGAGGAAATCATTTGTTTTTTTGCATTAAACATCAAGTAAATAAAAAGATCAAGGAAAGACTTAAATTTTCAACTGCAATTTCAACTAAGGCTATGCTTTCATTCAATTACACCATTTTTGTACCATTTACATGGGGAAATGCTACCCATAACCACTTGAGTGCATGCCCTTCACTAAACCACTGTCTGCCTTTCTGCTTTGGAAGCTGGTGAACCCTGTAATGGCACAATTCTTAAAAACCTTTGTTATCAATTTTTTGGATTATTTTAATAGATACAACTCAATCTATGTCTGTCTTTATTTGGTGTACAATTAAAACATACAAGCAATATTCATTTTTTACAAATCTGACATTGTCTATTCTACCAAACAAGACAACATAATCAAAGTAACTTATATGTGTATAGAACAGAAATTGAAAAATATGGCTTGAAAAAATGCGAGCAAACAACACAACCAGGATAGAAAGGAACTTGACCAGCAACGATGTAAATTGTTGCTCTAACAGCTGAGCTGTGTTGTCATACAAGATGCTACAATGGAGGTCTGGTGTGCGATGCATTGGATGCTGTGATAAGTCCCCTGCATGCATTGTGAATAGTTTATCTGTGTGTGAGTGCAACTGCTTTGAGATTGGATCTGAATATATGGCCGGAAAAGTAGCTCAATTGATTGAGCAATAACAAAAATGCAGCTGGTCAAGGGTTTGAGTCCTGTTCTGAGTGTGTCATTTTCTCAAGTTTTTTCTCAGTACAAAATAACTTACAATGCCGACCCAGTCAAATCAAGAAGTTTTTCTCTAATATCTTTCACAACTTCAAAACTAGGATAAAAAAACACAATCATCATAATTTTCTAAAATCAACTTTTTTGATATACAAAATTTGTTGGTGAAATATGACAAGAGTCTATGATATTGGTCACACACAATAACATGGCTTGTCACTGAACCAAAAATAAAATTTATTGAAATTTGTTTTCTTTCCTTAGATTATCACTGGTTTTTTTATCTAAATCAGAGCTCTTAAACTTTTTCTTAAAATTCTCATTCATAAAAGGCTGAGTTTATGAAGAGCAAAATGTTCAAGTGCTTTAGCAGAGGTGAAACCATTATAGATAATGGAAATGCCATCTCCCTTCTTCTTATTTCCATTTTCTTCTTTCTGTAATTATTCTTGCTATATAACTGCTGCTGCTAACACTGAAAGTATCCAATAGCCATTGTATGAATTGGTGGCTTGTTCGCAGGCAAGGCTTTGTGTCGCAATGCCAGCCGACTGAAATAACTTTTCTCTGATTAACTGAAGTTCTGAACTGACAACTTTTCAAAATGTTTAACTGCTAGATGTTAATGTTAAAAAGCTATTTAGCAACAAAACTATTTAGATAATAATATTAGATTTCATTAGATAAGCTAATTGAAGAAAAGCAAGTTTTGGCAAGAGAGTCCTTTTAAAAACAACCACTTTCTCAAAGGGTTATTGCTCTGGGTTGATGTGACACCCCCTTGGAAAAAAATTTCATTGTTAAAGATGGGAGCTTTTTACCATCAAGGGTGCTTCATCAGCAAATTTAAGGTTTTTCGCAAATTAAGGATGCTTCACCAACTTTGTTAGCCAGTGGGACCTGAGAACCCCTTGAGCCCAATAGCCAGTGACAGTCCTGCTTGCTCCATATCAAAACTAGAATGAGAGTTATATTACTCTCCTCTTCTAATATCAAAGATTGCATACCTTTTCTGCGATGTAACAGAGTAAACCAGAACATATCCATGAACATCAACGGTATATGCTTGTGAAATCATAGAGTACTCATCCTGCAAAGTCAAGGATAAAAACTTTGCCATTAAGACCTTTCCTAATAATCATAATTGACTGAATTTTATGACTGTAAATTAGAGAAATGATAGAAATACTGAAGAACAAAGACCACTTTTATGTTCTATGACAAAACTGTTTTTAAATTACCTGGCCTGCTGTGTCCACCAGATCAATTTGGTATTCTTGGCCTTTGTGTTTTATGCGAGTGGAAAAAGCTAAAATAATATTTTGTAAAAAATGGTTATCAAATTTGCTAATTAGCAAAAAATCATACATTATCAATGTACTAGAAATCCATTTTTTATGTTTCCTTTGTAACAAACATCCCTTATAATTATCTAATTACACTTTGTTCTGACTAGTATTAATTAATTGTTAAAAATTTGTGAAACTTGTTTATGTAGGAGGCAGGCCTCTCCGTGAGCATTATAGCGGGTGCGTGCTCAAACGCGCGCTTCGCCTTACTAAGGCGCGCGCTTTATCAAAAAAATATATTTACGTTAAAGTAGGCAAAAACGGCACGTTTTCGCATGTAAATGCTTTGTATCTAGAAATATCTAAACAAACTACTTAATAGAGCACTAAAAGCAAAAAAAACAAATTATTGTTGCAGTTCGACAATGTCCAGCTCAAATTCCGATGAAAAATCTGAGTCAGAAGAAAGGGAAGAAGCAAAATTCGTTCCATTGACGTACGATTCAATTGCTTTCCTGGCACTTCCTTTACAAAGAGGATTTGATAAAGTAACGCTTTTGTGTCTTGAGCAAACTTTACACCAAATCGAAATTATCATTGTCTTCCCATTCCATTTGTCGGTCTTTGATCCGATAACTTCGTTCTTGCGATACTTGCAAAAAGTAGATAGCTCTATGGCTTGACACTTTGAATTACTGGTCATTTAAAAACTTCTGTTGTGAAAAAGAAGCGAACAGAAGCACAAGTCTGTCTCCATGCACATGTGTGAAAGAATGAATTAGTAAGGTTGCGTGACTGTGTTGAAATCCAATTATAACAATCAGGAATTACAATGACAGTTTATTGGTTATTGACCGGAAATATATTCAAGAGGTTTTTGCTTTAACTTGAAATTGTAATTACGCAATAACATTTCGAGGCAATAACAATTTCCTCGAAAGAGGCTCTTTGTATAATAACTATTCAAAACCAAAACACAAGAAGCGCGATTTAAAGGGTTCTTATAAACCAGACGCGTGATTTATTGCGTGTCTCGGCAACAACGGGAGCGTGCCAAGGCGCACGCGCGTGATCGCGCGCCTTAAACGGAGCGGCCTGGCAGGAGGTCAGTGATGACTTCATGCATATCTAAAAGAATCACAATGATACCTACTGTTTTCAATTGTAGGGTCATAAGAATCCACAAATTGACCTTCAACAAACTGAATGGATAGCGACGACTTGCCTGAAGCACAAAAGAGAAAGTTGTAATCAAGAAATTTTGGTAGCTTATCAAAAACTCCTGGTTAACTATACATGCCAATTTGCATACAAAAATAGAAAATTACCCAAACAAAGTAGCAGATACTGGCACATTTAGAAGTTGCACTGTGCTTTATCGATATTTTAAGAAAACATAATTTGTCACATGAAGAAACGTTGCCTCACAATCTCCAATATCCTTTCATAGTAAATCAATACTTCAAGAAGGGAGGGGTGATGGCTGAATTCAGCCTTGAAAACTAATGTTATGTTTATTTTCCTAAAGTTTTGACAGCCATTTGATATCTGGCAGTTTGTCATCTGATTCAGGCATCCTATGCTTATCTTGACTTCCTACTCCAAACTAGGGCTCTCTGCCATCTTACACCCAATATGCCTGCCTTGGAAAGGCCAGTGAATACACATCCACACCTAGACACCTGTCTTGCTTTTCCAGGCCATGAGTTAACATCTTCATGGGAAACATTCTTAGGCCTCGTTTCCACCACCGTTTTCCTTTCGTATCAGATTCAGGTTCCAAATCCAATGCAAAATTTTTGCCTGTTTATCATCTCTGCAAAGCAGTAGTATGGTTTGATATCAGATTCAACTAACCCTTCACACAATCCTGTTTTCAGTTCGTATGGGATCCACTTCAGTTCACACTGAGACTGTACACTTTAACATTGCTCCATAAAATCTATTGTCTTAAAGGAGTTGCCTAAAAACATGGAATGTGGTCCATTTGGCTTTTGTTCTGAAAACTTGCATGACATATCTGACATTCTGATTTCTTGTGAAGGCAAAATACTTGGTTTACAGCTTACACAATCATTTTCATTTGCAAGCAAATAATTATTTATTATTTATTATTATTGGTGTCTATAGTCATTTCATATCTTGAAAAGTACGCTAAATGGAGGTTCTGGGGCAGAGGTTCTGGAGCGAAAACAATATGGGATTCACATGTTCACACAAGCTCAAAAGTGATCTAATATGGTTCCCTTGCAGATTCAAAGTGGAATGGGTGGACTCTTTGAAATTTTACAAAGCCTCATTTGTTATCTGCTTCAAGTGATATTGTGCCAAGTTGAAAAACATGTATGAAGAATGGTACTTTATCAGCTGCGACCTGTGAGAGGAATAATTTGAGCTGCAAGTAACAATGTCCTTATCAGGGCCTTATCAGGTAACAGTGCCCTTATCAACTGAACCTAAACTGGAGGGACCATCAATGCAGAGAAAGTTTCTTATACCTTAGTCTAGCCCCTATTGTGCCAAATATTTTGCTTACGCTGTTTTACTTGTGGATTTTGGTTCAATGTACTTTTTGCAATCTAAAGTCTTTCAATCTCAATCCTTTGAGCTCAATCTATTCATTTTAAATGTGGAGAGGCCATGGCTCCCTGTGGTGCGGGCCCTGCTTATAAAATCAATTATATCATAATTTACTTATCTTCATTGATATTTAGAGTCAGGTGCGATTACAAGAAGTCTATTAGCATAACTACGAGCACGTGCAAATTTTCAGGTCATAGTGTGGACAGAAAACCTTTTCCGTATGAAAAGTGATTCAATATGAAATGACTCTGGTATCGTGCGAACAGGGCCTAAATAACGGTTGCTATTAACATAAATATTTTTGAGAGCAATATCAGTAACAGACACAGCAAACTTCTTCTCCCCCAATCTTCTGTCACCATTTAACTTCATCATACTGCTTCTTGTGATCTTTAAAGGTCCGATGATCAATTAGAGCATTGATAGCACAATCAATAAGTGGCATAATAATCAACAGGCTATTGTTCCATATTAGAAAACAGTCAGAATAATAACCACATAAATAGGACCACACGTAAGCTTAGATCTATTTAATGCCGTAAGTTACATCATAATTGTAACTAACCGACGGATCTGAAGCCCATTATGGCAACTTTTCTTGATTTCACAGGAGCCATGCTCAATCGACGGTATGTTTATTTGTAAAATTCCACTCAGGGCATTCCACGCCGCCAAACGACACCAGCAAGAAGCTATCACACTAACACGCAATAACATATTGTGTTTGCCTCCTTTTCAATTCAAATTGTTGTTGTCGTTGATCTCAACTTCCGTGAAGCCAACTGCTGAGAGGAAAATTGTTCAAGGTAAGTTTTTTATTGCAATGAATTTAAATATTAATCTTGTCAAACAAAGACAATATTATTGTTTGGACCTTAGCTTGCTATATTACAACAGATTCACGATGTCATGAGCTGATGATACCATAACCAGCCACTACGGCTGCCTTGAGAAGACATGCTTTAGGCGTGGCTTGCTTTGCAGCCTACTCGAAAATTTGCCCATTTTTGCCCACCATGTCTGGCTGAAGTGATGTTGATTTGTATTTGGCAGTATTTGCTAATACGATGAATACAGTTAAACAGCTAAATAAGTAATCTGAAAAAAGCTTAAGACATAACGAGAATCTTTTTTGAAAACCATCTCTTCTCAGGGGGTGGTCTCTCCTCGATTAGTCTATCTACTGAGTGAGCTCCTCCTCAAATAAATTCCTCTACCTACAAAAGTCCATTTCAGTAGTATGTATAATTTGTGTTGTATTTAATTACTATATTGTATTTGTTGTTTTTAGTTGTATTGTTGTCAGACTTTTGTATGTAGTGGAATTTTAAATATGAAAACTTGAACTCCCCCCCTCCCCCGGGGGGTTACTCCCATTATGGCCAAACAGGGGGTCCAATGAGGGCCAAAGCTAACATGTAACAAAATTACCCTCAAATGGTAGTGTTTTTTGACAACAACTCTCAAATGGTAACAGAAGGACGGAAACTATGTCATTGGCAGCATCCATTTCTTTGGCAGCATCCTTAATGGGAGTACCCCCTGGGCTTTTCCCACTGAAGATTGATCAAAGGCAAAAAAATGCTATTTTATAAACCAATTTGTAGAAACACCTCATGATTTGTTCTTTCCAGTCTAATGAGCACCATTGTGGTATTTATGTTGCTGGAGGCCTCCTAGTAGATAAGGAGTCTTTGCTAAGGCCAAGATCTTAAAACTTCATGAAAAAGAAAAGTGCATCATTTGGACAAAAAAATCAAAACCAGTTTCATGCCAGCTAGTACACTTGCATTGTGAAAAAGTCAATGTACCAGAGATCTCTCATGAAACAAACATGCTTAACATACCTGGAACAAGCACCAAATTTCTACATCAAGTGTTCTGTTTTTAAACCTTGTGAAGCTTATTTTTGCAGAATTATTCCAAATCAACATTCAGACTTTTGAGAATGTTGTGTTACTGTTTAGAAGAAACCAGCATGGAACAGGTTTCAGAGACATTTTTCACCATTATGCAAATTTTGCTGCACTCAGCTACTTCAAAGAAAATCAATGACAAAGATTGCATATTTAACATAAAAAGTTTTCTGACTTGGGGGCTGTGCCTTTCAATTTTAGGGCTAAAATTTTTTAGAGTTATAACAATGGGTTTGATTTATGACCTCCTAGTAGGGAGACTGCATGCCCCAAAGGGCGGCTTCAGGCCCCTAGCACCACAAATCTTGTGGATAATAATTGCTATGATATGTGAAATTACCAAATTAAATTTTCTGGGAGTAAAGAATTTTATGCCATAATGTATTGTAATGCAAAGAAATTTTAAGTTCAGTTTTCCAATGTATTAAACATGTTTTCTTGAAGAAAAACAAATTGTGTGACAGGTTGCAAGTATGAATGTAAGCCATGAAGTTGAGTTGTTGGTTCAGGAAATAAAGCGTCTTGGTAGTGTTAATAATGATGGAAAGCATGTGGTGACATTTGGAGTTCTTTTTAATGATGATCGATGTGCCAATATTTTTGAAGGTTTGTGCCTATGAGTTTCTTTAAATGAATGGTACTAAAATTTTCATTCTGCTCATATATTATGGTCAAGTTTTTCTTAGTCTTCTGTGCTTACCAAAGTATGATGAAGTCTAAGAAAATATAGGCCACTTGCAGTACCAGGCCGTATTTAGAAATTTGTTTTGCCAGACGTTTTAAGACATAAAGATTTTATTGCTCTCATAATAATTATGAGACAGTGAGTGTAATAAATGTAATAAATTTTCAACATAAATGTATTTGATGTCAGTGGATTTTGCATTTTTGTTAGAAGAAACTTTAGTCATGTTGTATATTCAGAAAGCCAGAGTTCTCTTCTCAAGCACAAAATAACTAATTTTTAAAATGATATTTCAAAGCTTTTCCTCTTTTTGTGTAGCACTTGTTGGTACACTGAGAGCTGCAAAGAGAAAGAAAATTGTTTCATATGAAGGAGAATTGCTGCTTCAAGGTGTTCATGATAATGTGGAAATTGTCTTACATTCTTGATAGAATATGGGCTCTAAAAAACTTCATACATACTTCATACATAGAAAAAACATAAAGGCTTGGACTTACATAAAACACTTAAACTTATAAAGTTGTTTTTTGCACCATTTATATATAGCACATTTTTGTCACTAGTTTATAAGATTTTCTGATGATGCTGGGAATGTAGCAGTTTTTTATATTAATGTTGGAATAGAGAAGTACAATCTTTACAATTTGCCTACTTTTTTTATGTTGATTACAGATGAGTCAAATAATGGACTGTATAAAGGAATTTAATATGTCTTTGTTATCACTTAAAATTCCTTTGCTATTATTAATTACGTAATTGTTGCGGCTAATAAAGGGATATTTAACACTAGTTAAGAAAATTATAAGTTTTGCAAACAATCTTTTTGTGGTACAGAATTTAAAAATGGTTTCGAAAAAAGAAATCCATATTCTGAGGAGAAAATCCACGCACCTAGGAGATGGAAAAATCAATATTAACAAGATCGATCACGATTAAACACAATACTGGTGAAAAAATCAGCTTGGACCGTTTTAGCCAATCAGGACCCTGTATTTGCCATGGAATTCATGGTCAGAAAATTTGCATTAATTTAATTTAATTAATTTAATTTAGCTTATAAAACTAGCTCCAATTGAATATGAATTTTAATTTTGTTAGCCAGACTAAATTTCGATATATTTTTAACGAGTAGTTGAATTTAATAGTATTGAATAAAGTAACTGTAAACTAATGTTGAGCTTGGATGGTTTGATGTTTGTAATGTTTCCATTACATTCTTTTCAAAGGGAGTTCTTGAAATTTGCAAATGAAACAAATTTTTGCAAGTCGCAGTTTTGTGAGTTTTTGTTGAGCTTTTTCTAGACGAATTGCCCCCTAAAAAAGAGCCCAGTCCTACAGGGACGAAAATGAATCAAGCACCCAGGCGCTAAATTGAGGATCAAAAATTTAGCTATACAACTAGTAGTTTTAGCCCTAACACCCCTGGTTAGATTGTCTATCTAGCTCAAGGTTAGATTGTCTATCTAGCTCAAGGATGGATGGTTAGATTGTCTATCTAGCTCAAGAAATCTCAGAAAAAGTAATAATTCCGATTGCTGCTCTTTGTGGGAGCTTCAACATACGGAAGGAAGCTCAGGCCTGGTCATAATACTCTCAGCAGGGGAGCAGTAACAGCTCTCCAAGTAACTTCCTGGTGAGTTATTTGTAGCTTAATAAAGAGAAATTGATTTCAAAGAGAGGTGCCCTTCAAAAGTTCGATTCCAGTATAGGAAGGATTATATTAATGTATGGTACCTTTCCGAAGTTTTACACGAGAGTGCTGTTGACTCGGGACGATCTTGGTTGCTTCTTGGACATTTCAAAAATGGAAATTCTTATAGGCCTAGCAAGGTATAGCAATGAAGTACCAGTCCGGACAGTAGGAATGCTTGAGATGCCAGGCACCACGGAGCAGGGGGGGGGGGCTTTTAGCCTCTAACCCGTCCAGTAAAGCCTCTTTATATAAGGTTTTAGCCCCCCTCCACTTCTTTTAGACCCCCCACTTTTCTCAAAGCAATTCAATTTCAATTTTTCATGTCTCAGCTTAATTACAATATACTGATCTAGTCAAAAAATTAATAAAGTTACAATTTTAGTTATACTTCAATACATACAAGGTTCAGATATTTAAAATAATTATTTGTATCTATAAAGTTATACAACCGAATGACACATGGAAATAACCCATAAGGGCTTTCAAGCCATATGCCATCTTTGTGAATTTTGCTTGAAGAGGTTATAAATCAATACACAATATTAATAAACAACCATAACATTTTTTAAACTAGGAATACAAATTTCAAAATTTTAAACTAGGACAATATAAACGCTCCACGGTGCCTGGTTGTTCATCAAAATATTTTGGGTGCATTGTAATCATATTGTCATTGTGACAAACTTCAGCTCCAAATTGAGGCATTTTTCGACTCGAAGGATTTTTGCCTGCGGGAAATCTAATGGGAGTGGAACTATTTTCTCGTTAGTTTTGCTGTTACAATCAGCAAAATGACACCAATCAACTGCCCAGAGCATCGGGCACAGGGACGGATTTGAGCAACAATGATTGGGACGGGGGGGGGGAGGTGTTAGACATAAAATTGGATTTTCGTGCCACACCCTTCAGTTCACTGGAATATGTTGAAAACGACCATTTTCAAAATTCGGTTTTCAACTTTTAGGTAAAGAACAGAGATATAGTCGCAAAATTTTAACATGGAAGGCTCAGGCCCGGTTTCAGCGTATTTTGGGGAGGTGCAAGTTTTTATCTACCGAGTACATTTTGGCAGCATTACACTGCGTTAATGCAATTAGAATATTTTAGCATTGTTAATATTTAAATTTCAGCTATTACAAAGCAACTTCAGCTATAAAACTATTAGTTCTATGAAAGTTCTAAAATAAGCCTTTGTGGTCACGTAGTTTATTCAACTTTTAGAAACACTTAATCGAACCCTTCTGTTATTCAACTGGACCCACTTCTTGATAATAGATAAGTTCTGTGTAAAGTATTTCTCGCACGAAATTAGCGTAAAAGATTGTAGACGATTCTGGAGCATTGTGCTTCTCAGTTCCAGAGACGGGGCCACAAAATTGGGACTGGGGGGCTAAGAATCAAGTTTAGTGACATAGGTGGACCCACCATGGCCGGGTCCGACGCGAAAGGAATTTTTTGAAATTAAGCTTTCTAGAATGGCTAAAAATGCATCTCCCCGATTAAAATTGTCTCTGTTTTTATCCAATTTCTTCGAATTAATCTTCTTCTGTAATGTTTCTGAACATCCTCTTCTGGATCAACGGAAAACTATAGAACTTTTTATATGTTTGAATGTTTTTGAAAATTACACAAAGGACAATTTTTCATTTGAAAATTTAAAAAAGTTTATCTACCCGTCAAAATCCAAATTTTACCGACTAAAATCCCAATTTTACCAACTAAAACACAAGTGCCTATTCTTGGGGGGGGGGGGTGGGTTTTGAGTTGAGTGCCAGCTGAGATGAGAGCATCGAATTTATGGGGAAGAGTTCAAGGGGGGGGGGCAGAGATCGATAAGGCAGAGCTTTCTTTTTAATAATAATGACCCATTGGTTGGATTTTGAATTGAAACATTTCCTCCCGTGCTAACAAAACAGAGGTGATTTTATCAGCTAAGGAACAGTGCTACTAAAAATGTCATGCAGAGCTGCTATTCAGTGGACTTGGAAAATATTGACGAAATAAAGATAAATTGAAAAATAAATTGGAGATGAAAGATAAATTTTAAAATAAATACAGCTTTGAGAACACCCGAGCCTTAAATTATTCAAAAAATTAGAGTTTTTAGTGCTCTTATTTAAAAGGGTGTAGTGCATGAAATATTAAAACTAGACAAGACAGAGTCAAATAATAGCACCGGTTGTTGATTCAGGCACTTCTTAAAAATGAATTGTTTACACAAAACTGCAACTAAACGTACTCAGTAAGAAATGACCCCTGGTAAAGAAGATAAGAAGATAAGAAGATAAATAAAGTAAAATCTTTGCGCTATTTTGTTACTACTTACTACCAAAAATGATTTTTACCGAAGGTGAGCAAAATTAACAGAAGGACACAGAAATATTGGGGGTGTGTTGTATCCCCAGACCCCCTAAATCCGTTTCTGTCGTGCCATCATCATTAGAGAAGCTTGATTTAGGACAGAAGAGTATGGTTTATTCCTCAAAATTAGGACATTGAAACTTAAAAAAGGGGACCTTTTGGAATTAGGAAAAAATGTGTGAAATAACGTGTTTTTAAACCAAGGCCAAGATTCCTCTTTGCTGACAATGCACTCATTTTTATCAGAAACAAAGGTCAAAGTTGAGTACTCCAGTTTCTTAACCCTGTGGAAATTTTAATACTCGTGTCTTAAGTGTTTCTTGAATATGACGTCATTAATTTGAACACTGGCTTCCCATTATCAATGTTTAACGCTAAGAAAATTCCAACAAAAACTGGTTTGATGGATTTTGTCAATGTTTAGCCCATTCAATGTTTCTTTTACTTCCGTTCTAATGCTGCAGTTAGATGAGGGAAGTGGATTTTCGGTCTCTGAGCCTTAATTTTTATGCCGACTATGATGGAATTTCACAAAATTACTCAATTCTGGACTTTTTCAAAATTCAATTGTTTCTTAACTTTTTTGCATCGAGTTCTGAATATACTTAATTTTTCAGATTGCCCAGTACCCTTTTCTTATAGCGAGTTTCTTATCAAAAATATGAGTGTATCACAGCATGTGATACATAAAATCAAACGTTTGCATGTAATTTAATCATTGATATAATTATGAAACCCAAATAATCTTTAGAATAAGCACCACCTCAAGTTTATTCAATTCAACTTTTTGAAGAAAACTTTTTTATGTATGTATAAGGTGATTTGCAACTTATAATAGAAATGTTGGTATTTTTGTTTCACAATGTGTTCCTTTTCACGTATCACCCTTCTAGACAAGCCTATCAGCCTATAAAAATAACAACCAATAGTCTTCAGCAATCTTCAATAAGCACATCTTTAGAGCAGGAACACCTGTTCACTTCGTTTTTTTGTACAAAGTTGATTAATAATTAGGAATGGGGTCTTTTTAAGATCTCTCTGATGAGCTTTGGTACACAAGTGAATGTGAGCGTACACGCCGGGTTAATGTGATTCCTCTGTGAAACTCTAATAAAACTAATGTGTAACTCTGTGGACAGTTGTTGCGGTATTGCTTCTCTTTGGTGAAATGTCCTCACTTTTGAGCAATGCAATAGCCTCATCATTTTTCAGTGCGTCATATCATGGAATAAGCTTCTTCTTATACAATTGTTGAAAATATCAGGCAGGATTGGAACGAATATGTCTGTGCTTCCCTGGATGATTTGAGACAGTAAACTTTTTAACGTTGCTACCCTTTCATATTGGAGTGTCAACCTGGTTCATTAACCCATGTGGCCATGTCTTTCCGCGTGGCTAAAATCAAATTTTTCTGTGCACTTTAAGCAATGAGCAATGATGCTTATACACTTTAAGTTTCTCTTATCTTTTCAGGAGATTATTTGGTATGAACAATAGCGGCGCTGTCCACTTGGCTCTGGGGGGAGTGGACAAAGCAAAAATTTTACCGCAAGAAAATGCCCTTCCCCCCAGTCTTTCGCAATGCGGCTAAATTGCGTAAGAAATTTTGTCGACCAGTTTTTCATCATAAAATGCCCGATAACCTTCGAGCGTTGTCACACTTGATGATGACTGGATTTTATTCGAGAAGTGTGGCTGAACTGTTTTCAAAAATGATTTTTCACTTTTTCAATATTGAAGTTCAATAAAAGGATCTCGATTTAAGGGTATAATTCTTTATACCTTGTTATATTCTATGCACTGAAATCAGAGGCTAACTTATGAAAGCAAAAAGCAATAACACTATTGCAATCATAAAAATAACATCATTATCGATCTTTATGATAACACACTATATTTCTCTTGTAAGAATATTATTCATAAAAGTATCCAGCAGGATCGGAATCATCAAATTAGAAAATTGCTCAGCTCATCCTCATCTCGCGGGCGATGTTCTTTCAACTGAAAAACACAACACAACACAATAAAGCAGTAAACAGCAACACAACAACAACCTACATTTCGCGCCATTTGCAGCTCTGAAAGACAAGATGGAGTCAAGATCTCCTGTCAATTTCTCGATGCTTCAGAAACACGTTGGCCGATTAGTTTCTGTTATTGGAAAAGTTAAAGATGTAAGTATGTTAAAATGCCACTCTAAATGTGCAGCTTTGTCTAAGTCAAGGTGTTACAAACAGGAGTTAGCGGAATATCGAATTTGGCTAAAAAAGATGCCAAACTAGGTGTTTAAAACCCACTAAAACTCGGTTTTATTTACGTGCAAAGCTAAAAATCTTACTGACGAGCAAGGATTTGATATATTTTTGTTTTGTTTTCGCCTCTAAATCGGAAAGAAAATCGTCTCCGGACACCAGAGCCTGAATTCAGACAGATTATACCAGACTGGAAACTTTGCTGCGCGCCCGCAATATATTGCCCGCGCACACCTCTGCGCGCTTTTGCATATTGGCCGCGCAAAATCCCCTAGATCCCTTGACAATAGGATTTAACATTATTAACAATAAAAATAACTAAGAGTGCATGATTTCAGGCGCGCAGTCTCAAATTTTCAAAATAAACTTGCCTGCGCAAGAAGCAAAGTTTCCAGTCTGGAGATTATAGATTTTGTTCAACGCAGACCAGACTACGACAACGACAGACAACGAGAATATCTCGGGTGTGGCAAATGCACACCCGAGATATTTTTTTCTGAAATGTTCCTGCACACATTGCTAAGGGTGTGGCATTTTGAGATTTGGGTATGGCATGGGTGTGTCATATTGGTTAGGGCAAATGAAGAATTATGTTTGTCTAAAATCAACATCATCTTGATTGCATTGGTTTGATAACAAAATAGGTATCAATCATGAACAATTGCTTAACTTAGTTCATTTTCGCTTCTTGATTGACATCCTTGGGTTCTAGCAGGGGTGCCGGAAGCACGGGGGCAGTGGGGGCAGCTGCGCTGACTCTACAGGGGCAGCACTGTGCCCTTGTGAAAATGGCACTATGTTTATGTGGATGAAATAAATATATAAAATCTCAAGTTCTTGGGTGAGATAAAACATTAGTGCCATTAGGAACAAAATGAAAGCAATTAAAATATTGGGTGCATTTGTTATGAACATTGCAATAACACTTTTTCTTTCGGCAACACTCTAAAATGTAGGAAATAACTGTAGAATAAGGTGAGGAAGGGCCTAATGGAAGCATCTTAGGTCCTAAGAGAAAACTGAGAAGGTGCCCCTATTAACGGGCTTGTCAAACACTAATGCAATACATAACACTAATCCAAGTTTACTAGTAGAAGCTTCAATTGTAGTTATCTAAAAGCTTTTAAATATGAGGTGAACTTTAGCAAAGTCATCAGAATTTGTAAGAAAGAAGTTGCCATACCAATAAAGAAGGTAACAAAGATGGAAAGCCTTTCATCAGTCATGACTACAGTCATAACTTGAATACCATAAAGAATGTCTGCCAGAGCTCACAGGTCATTGCAATAGTACAATTTCATTTGTACTTTCATCTGCAACTGCAGAATGTACTTTTAGCACTAATGCAGCGTGATACAACACAACAGCCAACAGCTCAAGGGATAGGGGGGGTTAACTAAGCCTAATTTTTAAAGGGGACATGCCATTTTGGTTAAAAGATTTGGACCCACATTCCCCATATGTCTGAAAGAGTGTGACCCACAATTCCGCAAACATTATGAAAACTCTACCCATAATTTCGCAAAGCAAATAACATCTTTAAAGCACATATTTCTCAATATTGCACATATTTCATACTTTTGTTTCTAACTGGACATTACTTTCGTTAATGCTCAAACGCCCTCCTAATAATTTTGCAATATGTTTCGAAAATGGTTCCCATAGTTCTGCACATATTTCAAAATCTGATACTGATAATTCTGCACTTTTCAGAAAAAGATATTCCCAAAAATGGCACAAAAAGCAACTGTAATAATCTATAGCTTTACTAACATCAGAGAATAGCCTATTTCAGCCACAAGCACATTCCATTTTATTTGCTGCATATATTTATATATAGATATTATGATAATATAGAGTGTTGAAATATTCATCTCAGTATTTTTTGTCAGGTGAATCCAAGTGGGAATCAAATAAATCTACTTATGTCGGATGGACAAGAAGTCAGAGTTGCCCTTAAAGATACTGTGAGTTGAAAATTGTAACCTATCAATCTAAAACTGGGTTTTTAATTAGTTTATTCTACATTGACAAGCTTTTTTCAAATTTCCTTGTAGTGCAGTTGCTTTTTTGGTATTTTCTGGTATTATTCCAATTGGCATGGTCACAAGAATGTATTACCAGTCTCCCTAGCTAGGTTTTCCTCTTTCTCTTTGCCTCCAAGCCCTGCCACCTCTATGCTACTGTTTATTGGCTGTAATGCCTTTTTAACCCAACCTTTACACTCAGTGTCATGTTAACAGCAAATAATTGGTGGGATGATTTTCAAATTTTGGGTTTTTTATGAAAAAAACAATGGTTCCTTGCTTGAAATGAACAATGGATATGCAAATACAGACCTATCAGGTTAGGGGTCAAGAGGGAGGCATTTTTAGATGATGTGTTGTGTGATACTTTGATGCAATTTGTTCACTAATAAATCCACCAAACAGCTATCATGTCATTTACAGCTATCGCGTTGGGTCTTATTTTATGTGCAGTGAACACAGAGCTAGAGATAAGACTATCAGGCCTATGTTATACCATGATTATTCGCAACTATCCTTGACAAGCTCAAATTTATATGCATTTATACCAAAATTCATTGCTAAAGCTATGACAACAGTTGTAGACAAAAACAAATGGATTGAAGGGCTAGGCCATGATTAGTTGAGAAGAAAGATAGGATCAGTGTGTTGTTATAAGTGAAGTACTTTGATTGTTGCGAAGCTGTAAAAGAAGCATGCAAAGGAAAAATAACTGCAATGAATGAATGTAATGAGCCTAGCATACAAAATCAAAATATTGTTACTTCACAATCACCCAGCTGTCTAGTGCCTCCAAGTACCCTGACATAGAAATTGAAAGGGTTTTCCTACTTCTTGGAAGAAGAATCTTGATCTCCTACCCATTCAGGGTGATCCTAAGACTAGTGAATGTCACAGGAGTGTGAGTAAGTTTTTTACTGAATTTGTTTGATTTGATTCTCAGAAAGGCATCTGATTGCATGCCTTATCAAGGCTATGAGTTACCTCCTTCACAGGAAACCTTCTTGGCCCCTGTTTGAAGGATAACATTTTCATTTCTTGTTGTATATCTAAATCAGATATGTGTTAGAAACAAGACAGGATTGGGTTTGCAATGAATTCTCAACTATACAAAACAAGTACAATACTTTAAGCTACAAACAAAAATAAGCTACAATGGTCAGCATTAACAAATTAATTAATAATTAGTAATTGTAATAATCGGCAGGAGTAGGTAGCTTTTTTACATGCAGCAGTGGGAATTACAAACTCTCAAGCTCATGTAATTTTGCAAGTGAGTGTATGAGGAGACACCCTTAGACATAAACCTAGTGAAATTGTCCTTCCATAGCAAAAAGATGCTAAACCCATATACACATGTATGCTGATAGGCTCAGAAGACTATGCAACATACCCTGACTCACTCTGACTGATGCAGAAACTAAGGCCCTATTGACGTAAAGGCAATATTGCCAATAGGCATATGACTGAAGCATCCAATATTCACCCAACACTCCCTGATTTAGACTAACATTTGAAAATAAATGTGCACATTAAGTTTCCAAATCCAACAATAAATTTTTTCCTATTTACATGTTACTGTTTTCATTTTATCTTGGATTTAAGGCTCTGTTTACTTAACAGAGCTTTGTATGTTCATGTTGATCCAGTGAGTTTTCAAAAACCTCTATTTTTATAGATTTACACTTTGATAGAATTTCAAAAAGCTCAGTTTTTGTGTCAATTATTGTGCTTTCTAATTAAATGTATGCGGTTTTGCATAATGAATAATTTAAAGATGGGTAAAAGTTTTAAATTTTTTACTTCCAATAAATGTTAAAAAATACTTAATACTTCCAATAATGCTAAAATACAACTAGGACCCTGTAACAAGGACTGCTTTTCCCTGCACGCCTACAAATTTATTCCTGGTGTGGCCTGATTTGAGCTTTTTTCCTATTATTACATGCCCCCGACAGAGTCTTAAGCTACTATTTTAAGCACAAAAATTTGTTCTTTTAATATTCTTCCTTATATTTTCATGAAAAATTTTTTTAAAAAAGTAATCCTTTCCGTCCTTTTTATTTGAATATTCTTGTCAAGTTGAATTAATTCAAACTAGTTTGATTTTAATCCTTCCTTGAAGAATATTCAAACAATGGAAATGTGGATGTACACGGATGTGAGCTATTGTCAGTGCTTTTGTTTGCAAGTGGATAAACAGACAGGAGTGAAGAAAGACATTTGTGAATGTCCTCAATATCTTTTTAGAATACTCTTGCAGGAAAGAATTGCAAAAAGTGTAGCCCCAACTTGCTTTGGTAACTTTATTAGGTTAAAGACGTTGCTGTAAGTTCCTTTTTCACATAGCCTGGAAAACATGGCGGTCGTATTGTCAATAACTGTGAGGAAGGCCACTAGAAAACGAAATTCAAGTGCCAATCTCGAACCCTGCCTTATTTTTCTTAGGAAGGTTTCCTTAGCTTATGGAACTGGTCTGGAGGTAGACCTAACCAACCACCCAGACTGTAATTGATCGGGTGTCTACCATATAAATAGGTCAGAGAGAGTTTATGGTAAGAATTTTCTAACAATGTAAAAACGAGGCGATAAGTTTATTTTTTGAAAAATTCTTCATCAGAATAAAAACAAGAACAAAAGACTAACATTACTTTTGTTGAATCTTATTTCATGTAACCAGGTCTTTATGATAGATATTGATTATAAAATACAATGCTAAATGAAGTAAATTTTGTCCATCTTATCAAGCTTGAGGAGCTGCTTGATGGATATGTCCAGATGACGGCAATGGTCGAAAGTGATGGTTCTCTTACTGCTGAAAACTTAATAAGTTTTGGAAATGGAGAAATTGGTATGTTTTTATTTTCCTGTGGTTTTTATTTTCACAATCAATCAAATGTTGAAACAATTGCATGCAGATGGAAAACAGTTATTTGCTATTTCTGTCTTCATTTTCCTTTCTTTCAATCTACTTTTTATCTTTGTTTTGTTTTAGAGCATTGTTTTAGAGCAAAGGGCATTGTTTTAGAGTCAAACTTATGCTTCTCTGAAGCTAATTGATTTCCGTTCAAATTGAGAGCTATCGTTTTTGGTAATATGATGTTTTTAGGCTGATGATTGCATTTCTTGTAGCAGCTGAATATATGGATTTGTTCCTTTTTGCCTTTTGCAGTTCTCTTTAAAATTTACAACAAACTAAAACACCTACAGTAGAACAAGTCAATACAACAAGTCAATACAGCTTCAGCGCAATAATCATTTCAAAAACTTTCATGTTCTTTGACTGAAGCATGTAATTTCGGTCCCCCAATGTTAACAAGACGGGCACCCTTGAATGGGATGTTCTTGTAGTCTGCCTCAGTTTTTCTATAGACGTAAGGTGCATGTGTTATACCACTTGATATGGCTTTCCATTTTTATTTTTATTTTTCTTGAATGAATATATTGTGATGTGTCCATTCTCTCAGGTAATGCATTTTCAAAGATACCATTTAAATCTGCTATTAGAGTTCATATGTGATTTTTCAACTCCAAAAACAAATTTGAATTACCTTTGCTTTGAAGACTTGTTGTCACTTGGTCTTACTATGCCAAAGTATGTTTTAACATTTTTTTGAATTTTTCAGATTTGAATCTGTACAATGAGGCTGTCAATTTGGCAACAAAGTACAACCAACTGTTTGTGTTCACCAAATAGAATGACATTAAATAAAGCTTATAGTTGACAGAAGAGATAAACTGTTTCTGTAACTATGTGGAAGTATTAAAGCCAGAATAGAGCTTAATCAAGTTTAACATCTAAACAGTGTGTACCACGTAAAATTGAATCATTAATATGTTGTAGATTTTGTATTATAATCTTTACCATCTTCCCATTTTTATGGCAATGTCTATGTTGTTCATAGTTTGTATGAAATACTCTGTTTTTCACAAAGACGTCAAAAGCATCACATAAAGACGTAAAGAGATCCTCAAGTATTACCTGTTTCCCAAAAGATATATTTTGTGATAATCATCCAATCAAAATAAGTGAACTAACCTAACGTCCATTTGAGAGTCTCGTCCAGCATCACTGTTAATTCAGGCCGTTCCATTGACTTCAAAATATGAATAATAGCTTTAACCTCAACACCCAAATGTGAATAATGCAATTCAGCTAAAAGAGACCCTCTAGTGAAATCAAATTCTATAACATCCCACGTGAAATAAACTCTTATGAAATTTAATTCGACCACCATATAATCTAACATTATTTGAATTGCAGTCATGTCTCTTTTATGTCTCTTGTACAAAATATTATTTGCTTTTCCTCTACCGCTTTGTTGTGTTTCAGGACTCGTTAATTGATTGTCACTATCAATACCAACCTTTTTCATTTTTATTGATTTTATTTGTTTTGGCACGAGATGTGTTCGTAAGTTCTGCTTATTTGAGTTCTTTCTTTGCTAGATATTTAAATTAAATAAAATTTATTCTTTTGCTTATCCCTTCAATTCAGAATAGCTCCTTTTCTTCTCACACTCTTTTTGAAGCAGATAGAACACAATAGAAAGTTGCGCATTTTCTAACATTATGGATATCTAATTAAATTAAACATTCGCTCTAAACTGGGAAGCATTAGTTAACAGTTGCAATTGATGCAATGAAATATCATTATAGATGCTGTCTTCATCTGCATAATTTTTAAAAAGTTGGTTTATTAGAAACAAAAACTTTTCTTCAAGTTTTCAGAGAACAGCTTCTCAGAGGTTGTCATACCTTATCTACCTATCCGATGATTAATCCTAGGGAACTATTGTGGCGTATTAAGTCTTTTGATTGAAAATCGAGCTTATGTCCAAGAGCTCGACTTCCCTGGGCCTCTTTTCATTCAAAGTCTATACCACAAGTCGTGCCTAGTGATTATTCTCAGACAGTTTCATACATTCTCGTTGAAAACTGTTCCTTGCAGAAGAAGACACCATATTCCTAAATATTTTAAAGATGATGTTTATATATTGAATGTTTGTTGCCCAATTAATATGTTCATGATTCTTTTAAATTCTATTAATTTCAATAAAGGCACTGAGTGCCTGGCTATCTTTCGCTAAGTTCAACTATTTTCTACATTTTTTTACGTATGTTCCACTCATACGAAGGATTTTTCTTGGTTGACTCCTGCTATATTGGTGCCGGTATGCTCCTGTTAGCACGATCTGTAGCATTAACTTTTGCCTTTGTAATTGTAATACTCTCTCTGAAATCGTCATCTTTTATCAACTTCCTGCCAGGCACCGTGTACCTCATGTACTTGCAGTCCTTTTTCTTCTTGTAACCTACACTGTCAAAGTACAAGTCTTCCGATTCTTCTTTCCAATTATCCTCCTTGAACTTGTTATCATCCTCAATTTGAGGCCTCGACGGAATACTGATCTGCTGGTAATTGTTTCTTCGCTTCTTGCCAAATACTAAATATAAAGTAGAGTTTTGAGTAAAGAAAGAAAATATAAATAGTTAATAAATTACTATTGATTTCAGTGTGAATAGAAATATTCAGATCTAGACTACACTTTTAATTCTGCACGGATCGGTATCTGGTACTTATCAAAATCTTTGCACGAAAAGTTGATAATTATGTAATTGCAAATGTAGCCAAAATGTAGAAAATGAACCTAAAGAATAATCTTGCCATTTCGATCCTAAATGCGCGTATTAACGGCTTGAATCAGCAAATCTACTGCGTTAAATATTATTATATTTGCTGTAGGCTATCACTTCTCAGTATTCTAAGTCTGCTTTTTGTTTTAGCAGTTAAGACATTGTACTTACTGCATTTCCTTTCAAGTGGTTTCTCAAATAATTTGGTACGGTGAATTCCTTTTTCTGACACCATTGTTCTCGTGAAGAATACTCTCTCAAAGTCACTGTCTGTAGTCATAACATTTTTTGTTATAACATCATCTTTTCTTGCAACCAGTCCAGCTTTTAATCCTTGTTTTAAGGACCTAAATGCAAGGTATTCGTTGTATGATAGAATTCTAATCTTGCACTCTCGTACGCCTTCATAACTTGCTTTAGTGGCGAAAACTTCATCCGGATCCAACTTCCGTTTTCTTGAGGCACCACTTTCTGCATTAGCCCTCCTTTTTGCAGGTAGTTTGGGCAATTCCTCTAGGTTTTCTAGTTTTCGTTTTCTGTTTGGGCCGTAGATAGAGATGCAAGACCTTGCAGGACGACTTTTAGCTGCCACCGTCTTTAGGCATACCGTCAATTCATTCTCCTTTTTTGGCCTTTGTCCTACTGAAAAGCTTGTCTCCTTTTCCTGCACGGTATCCTCACTGGAAGATTCTACAAGGCTGCTTTCATTATTCTCGCTTCTGTCTTGGTTGTTTGTCAATGTGACCCGATCTTCTACTATCATATTTAGATTCTCACTGCGTTTAGAGAGGTCTTGTTGATCTTGCACTTGCTTACAAGAAATGCTATGTTCCGTTGACCCTTCTATTGTTGTACTTTCCGAACAGGAGACGTACTCTGCTTTAGCAACATCAAATCCAAGTTCTTTTGTTAACTTGGCATTGCCTGCAAAAGCACTGTACTTTCCCAGCCGATCAGCAGACGGTTTCTTTTGCAGACGCACCACTGAAACATGGCCTTCTTCATGTTCTTCCATGTCATTTGTTTTAAATGGTATGGTACCAGCCTCTAATGCGCTCATAATAGGGACAGTCCAGTTAGGAACACGGCAGCATCGGATTGTGATGCTCTGTGAGTATGTTATTAGCTCATCCTGTATGATAGAAGGCAAAAATGTATATTTGCAAACATCTTTGAATTTATAAAAATTAAAAACACTTTCCTGATGACTATCATTAAGCAATAGCTACATTGTGATTTTTCACTTTCCAAACACCACAGAAGATAATAGAACATTAAATCAAACTGTGCTGCAAATATTTTAAGTGAATCCAAAAATTACCTCTCCATGATGCCATTTCATTCTTCCCTGGTTTGTATCCTCAGGAAAATGATGAAGAAGAAACCTTGCAAAGCATTTTGATGTCTTGAGATTGTGAAATATCATCTTCAAGCTTGCAAATCCTATTTTTCCAAGCGTCTTTACCTTATAGATTTTGTTCACACGAAATTCAATCTTCTGCCCTTCTTCAGGCCCCACAGTAAACGCCTTGTAGTGGTAAAACGGCCCAACTTTCTCTGGTGTTCCAAGAAGCTAAAATTTGATAAAAAAGCAATGTAATTCCCTGATTATGTAATTCCCTGATATATATTTTCAATTTCTTAACGGTGATTTAAATTTTAAAGAAGTTCGTGAGATTTTCTAACCGACTATTAATATTAAACGCAGAAGTTGATGAACTAAATCTTCTCTTTACCTGAACACCGTCGACAACCGCATTGCACATAGAACTTTCTATTTGCAACATTTTCTCGAAATAACTCTTAGAAACAGTAAAATTACTTTCCAAAAGCAATAAAGAACAGTCTATCGTCGTTAAAACTCGCAACTGTAAAGCCAAGACTTTCTTTGATTTTGATTAATTAGTTAATCGATTATTACGTCAAATTAAAAAGCGCCACTCGATTAGCTCAAGGTAACAAATGCTTGAGGGTTATTTAGAAATATCCTCATTCCTAATTACTAACTTTTGGTAATTTTTTTCTTAAGCTGAGAGAGTGCGAAATGAATGTAAACTAATAGAATGCAAAAATCGATAACCAAGAAGAGTTTTTGGAAAGTCGAATAAACAAGGAAATGTTGGTAGGACTTTATCTTCACAACTTTTAATGGCGAATGTTTTTACTTAAAAAATGTCAGGAAAAGCAACGTTAACAAATTATGACAATCTTTTGCTATTTCTTCGTACAGTTATTGGCAAAATTTTTCATTATTCTTAGTGTAGGACGATGTCAAATAACATCGAGGATATCAAAACCATGCCAATGATAAGAAAAAACTACCCAACTATGCATTTCCTGTTTGAAAATACTTCGTTTTTACATAAGACTTCTAAACAAATTTGGGATTTTGCAAACTGAAGATCTGATTCTCAAAACTTACTTTTTGAAACTAAACACAAAGTAGCAGATATGGCAAGAGCCTACAGCAAGATAAACACTAAACAGAATATGTGGCTGCCAAACACGTCATAAAAGATGAATTGCATTTTAAACTATTTTTTCCACTTCTCTTTTTTCCAAACTATGATGTAAGAAAGTATCCTATAATCAGTTGGTTGATCAGATTAGTTGGTTCATTAGTCAGGTGGACAAGAAGATTTTATGGAAATGATGTGATTCAAAATTTAGGGAAATCTGCCAACCAAGCCTTTCAAGGCAAAAATATAAAATAATTTGTTCATAAAAACGTTGTTGCTAATCTAGAGCATCATTGTTTTATCTTTTACTTTCAATGTTTGAGTAAGGCCAACACGGCATGCTTTCCATAGTTTATTAATGTATATTATCGAATTAACCACTTGAGAGCTTGTTAATTTAGGCAGCTTATAGAGGGGGCTGTAATAGTGCTAGTTTGGATTTCGTTTGTTTTGCTTCCTGTAACCTTAGTAATTTTATCACCGTTCGCACATTCGATTGTTTATAATTCCTTTTGTTTTCTAATTGCACCTTTAGATTCATTAACTATTTCTTTTGGGATTTTTAGTATCATTGTTCAGTTTATGTAATTAATCTTGGGACTAATATATTTTGTATTCACTATTATTATGTAAATTTTCGTAGCTATGTAGCATTACAATAAGTTCTTGTTGAGTTATATTTTGGGCGTGTTACATATAAAGTTAGTTTTTGAGTTGGAGTTGGAGTTGAAGTTGGAAATGGAATTCGGTTAAGAGCGATTA